TAAGAATAGCACTTACACAGTACTTTTAATTGTCAAAACACTTTACAAATAATAAGTTAATTTATTTTCACAACACCCCGTTGAAGTATTTAGGAAAGTATTATCCCATAATTATCTCCATTTTACAGCTGGAGGAACTGAGACAGAGAAGATAGGTGATTCTCCTAAAGCAACAGATGCAGTCACAGTCAAAGCTGAGGTCAGAACTCAGGAATTCCGTAATTCTTTCTTTATTTACTTACAATATTTCATGAAAAGAAAAAAATTCAGCCTGTTTTTTCCATTCCAGATTGAGTTTTCAGAGGCGACAGTTAGCAAAACTATCTTTTCACTTGAAAATTGAGCAAATTTGTTTTGGAGTATTTAATGGCAACAAACATGGAACCCTACTCTCCTAATTTTACATATTCATTTTTAGAGTAGACCTGCACTTTAAAACAGAAACTCCAAAAAGTAATTTTTTAAAGGAATTACATGAGGTTTTAAACATGAGACTTCTGTTAACTTTAATGATTCACACAGCTTTGAAAAAGCAGAGTGTAAATCCAAATTATTTTATATTATATCTCTATACTTTCTAATATTTTTAAAAATTACACAAAAATTCAATAGTACAAAAAATAATCAAGCATTAAAAACCTTACTCTTGTAAATAATCTAATAATGCACTTGCTGAAGCAAGCTTGCTTGTAAATCCTGAGGCATTCCAGATACTGAAATTGTATAACTGCTTACATTCCAGACCTAAAAAGGGAGATTTTCTTCAATTTTGTTTGTAAGGCAGATTTTAACTCACTACTAACCATTTCTTTCATTAAAAAAGAATCTTTTACTTAAGTTTTTAAGAAGCTCTACACTTGTAAAGGCTGGGTTTTAACGCCCTCAGCTGAACAGAGAACTGAAGAAAGAAGAAATCATTTCACAATGAGAAAAGGAAATAAAACATTTTCCTTTAGTGGGGACCCAACAAGAACAGGACTTTAAAACAGAGATTAACATACTTCATACTTGAAGATTACAGTTCTTTTTGACCTGTACCTGAGGAAAGACATTTTGCTATCTGAATCTTTCTTTACCTATGGAGTCTTAGTATTTTTACTTTCATTCTTAGAACAGTTCTTCCAGTAATGATGGTTCAGTGTCTGACCCTGCAAAAGTATTGAGTGCCTCTTGAGCAGCATTGAGCACTAGGAACTCCCACTGAAACTGATTGAGGGACAGATCTTCAAAGGTTTTAAGGTGCCTAAAGATGCAAATAGGTGCCCAGGGGAATTTTTATTAGCATGTAAGCAGGTTATACGCATAACTTGCAATAATTTCAATGGATGTTAGATGCCTAACCTGATTAGGCACTTTTGAAAATCCCACTAGACACCTTTATGTATTAAGCTCTACTCTAAACAACAGTACAAGCCCGCTCTCCCTGACAAAAGAACCCCAAACATGTTTCAATATATCAATCTTGTTAAAAAAAATCTCCATTACTAGTCTGTTTTTCATAGCGATTTTAGTATTATAAATTATTATTCAGGTTAGGAATATTTTCGGTAATAAAAGTTAAATGCTCCCAGTCTCCCTTTTTATGGGAACAGTGTGTAGGGACTCAAAATATGGACTTTATAGACAGCCAGCGTAACATCGATTTAATTTTACATTAGACAACACCAGTTATAAGGGAATAAAATGGCTATGTGGCTATTGGCTGCTGAGTCAGCATGGTCCAGTAGATAGGATGCCAGATTGGGAGTCAGAAGACATGGGTTTTATTCCTGGCTCTGCAGCTGACCTGCTGTGCTTAGGTAAATCACTTCACATCTCAGAACCTCAGTTCCTCATCTGCAAAATTGAGATAACAATACGAACCTTTTTGAAAGCACTATGAGACCTACAGAGGAAAAACACAACATAAGAGCTAAGGATTATTGTTATTATGGCCTCTGTGTACCAATGAAACTAGGGAATACTTTCTTCTGAGGAGTGACAAACCACACTAACATGATTCCTCATTATGCAAGGTAGCCTGTTTCCTCTTGTTTTTTCCTACCCCCCCCCCCCCAGATGTTCTGGTTTAACTTGGATTTAAACTTGGAGAGTGGTCAGTTTAGATGAGCTATTACCAGCAGGAGAGTGAGTTTGTGTGTGTATGGGGGTGGGGGGATGTGAGAAAACCTGGATCTATGCAGGAAATAGCCCGACTTGATTATGTAAAGAGTTGTCACTTTGGATGGGCTATCACCAGCAGGAGAGTGAATTTGTGTGGGGGGGTGGAGGGTGAGAAAACCTGGATTTGTGCTGGAAATGGCCCACCTGTTGATCACTTTAGATAAGCTATTACCAGCAGGACAGTGGGGTGGGAGGAGGTATTGTTTCATATTCTCTGTGTGTATATAAAGTCTGCTGCAGTTTCCACGGTATACATCTGATGAAGTGAGCTGTAGCTCACGAAAGCTCATGCTCAAATAAATTGGTTAGTCTCTAAGGTGCCACAAGTACTCCTTTTCTTTTTAGGCATCATGTCATTGTCTATATAACCAGCCTCTCAATTGCCATAAATGAGAACAGTTCATTGGACTTCACCTTTCTTGCAATCCTTAAAAGAACATGGTAAATGGTGGGATGGGAGGTTTAAAAGTATGACTTATAATAGTAATACCTGCCCACATTTAGTGAATGAGGATAAGAGAGAACCATGTACATTACACACCACACAAATCAAATCATTGCCTTCCTCTTTTGGGGCCAAACACATGGTTACTCTAGCCCCAGTGACTTTAGGAACTACTGTGGATAGATAGCACAGCTCTAGTAAGGGGAGGAGGGTCATGTCCAGAACAGGGAGTGTTTTACATAACCTGCTGCACATATATTTACTTTCTACTTAGTTTAATATTCTTGTTCTCTTGTACCAGCACAATGCTGCAATGATGGGGTTCCAGGACTCCAAGGGAAATCTGATTCTTTATAAACAAAAACATGAGAATTTGCAAAATTCATGCAAATGTTTTTGTTAGTTTCAGGTTTTGTAAAAGCTTATCATTTTTCAAAAGCTAAAGGTTCTCCTGACAGTGTCCCTTCAGTATTTTAGATAAACTTCCATTTTTAAACCGTGTTATTGCAGACTGAGCAACATACAAATAAAGAATTCTGAAAGCAAGAACCTCCTTTTGAGACTGGAACCGGAGTGGTAGGAAGGGAATTATACAGTAAGCCTGATGACAGTGCTAATTTCAGCATTCCTTAACGCAACTGTGGTTTGTTCTTTACTTATTGGATTTGAAAGGAAATATAGAAATTAAAACAAGGAAGAAGAGTAAGGAAGGCTACAAGTCAACAACTGAAGACTGAGAGACGCCCAGCCTTATTATGCAGTAGATATGCATGGTCAGCTCACACAAGCAAAAATAATTCTGTAAATAAAAGAAAGCCCCATAAAAAGTAAAATGCCTTTTGTGCAGGGCCCCAATCCTGCAGCCCCTATTCAGAATCAGTTAGCACACTCAATAAATGTAGTCATACTAGAGTGGTTCTCCTGTGCTTTCGCTATGGGCAAGCTATGTGGGAATCGTTGCACGTTAGTACAAAGCCAGGTGCCCTGGTCATAAAACACACTTTGTGATCATTCTACTCCTATATCTTCTAGAGCTGATTGTGAGGCATATTGTAGAAGCTGATGCAGCAGAGTCAATGCAGAATGAAGTGCTCACTCAACACTATAGGCAGGTGATGATACAGAGCTGTGGTGTCCAGACTTTTCAGTTTGAGATCCAAACATATTATTTCAAAGAGATCAAAGGCGCACAATCAATATTTAGGACAGATTATCTGCCCTGCTCTGCTCCCTTGGCCCATCCTTTCTGGTCCACAACTAACAAGTACAAGTTAGAGCAGCCTCCCTGATGCCTTAACTTTCACTGGGGCTAGGGCTGGAGCAGAGAATCAAGGACATGGAACAGGTTGTCGGTTCTCAACTTTTCCCCCTCTTCTGCTCTTGGTGTTTGGCTAGGAAAAGGTCTCCCTTAGACTGAAACAGAGCCAATCAAGTTCCTGTACTGGGGCTCTGACAGCCCAACAGCAAAGCAGATATGGAACAGTCACAGCCATTCTATCATTTCTTCCCTGCAGTGTAGCAGGTGCCCATTGGGGATGCTGCTGAGCAGCTGAAATACAGAGGAGATTACTGCTGTTTAGAGCACTTTCAGTTCACAGGAGAGCTTCTGCTGAGACTGCAGAGGAGTTGATGGGAGGCAGATGGGAAAGCAGTTCTTCCTACTTTTTCCTCACAGAGATGGGGTTGATTCAAACTCTTCAGTTTAACGATCATAGGATGCACCTCAGGAAATACATTTTCATTTTCTCATGAAATATAAATTGTCAAGACTGGGGGCCACCACTTAGACCTTCCAGCATCAGAGGTTGGACACCACACATTGGAGGCACTTGATCAGCAAATGAAATGGAACAAGGGGGTATGCTGGCATCAAGAGAATGGGCTTGAGGTAGGGTGCTAAGCAGTGGGAAGGATCAAAAGAAAGACAGATATCAAGGGATGGAGTGGTGAAAGAGCTGACCCACCAGGAGCAAGGAGGAGGAATGGTAACAGTAGGGGGAATAATGGAAATAGGAGCTAGGCAGCAAGAAAGAGTGAGAGGAGGACTCATGTACCACTGGATGAAGTAGAGAAAGGGATCTCTGCACAATAGATGAATGGCCATGTGGGGCCCTCATAGCAACAGCTATTTTAAGTATTTGACATTCACATTCATTTTTTCTTTACAGATTTCTCTAAATGCAAATATCAGCAAAACAGCAAGATATATGTATGAGTCAATCCAAACGTTCCAAATTATTATAATTTTTTTAATTTGGATACCCTTTACACAAAAAAATGGAGGTGTGAATAATGATTTCTGTTGACAATTATATTAGACTTTGCAAAGTACTGTACATTCCATTCAGCGATTCATGCTGCAATCCATTCTGTGCATTTAAAAAGTACTCACAGGCTTCAATGACTGCTTTGGATTTGCCAGACTCCTTAACTGGTGCCTTGGTAATAGTATCTTTCTTGCTACCATTTACTGTGGGCTTCCTCAGGCAATCTAGATTCCATTTCTTCCAAGCAAATTTCTGTGGCTTTAGACCTGAAAAGCATAAGTTAACCTTAGAAAAAGACAGACGTATTTGGTGTTACTTTTGAAAGCTATCCTATACCAAACGTTATCCTTTCAAATGAAGTTAAGACTTTTGATTCCTTTCAGGTCCCTAATCTGCAAACACTTATGCATGTGCTTAACTTTAAAATAGTAATCAGTCCCACTAACTCCCATTGGAATACTCACATTCTTAAAGTTAAGCACAGACATGAGTGTCTTATAGATAAGGCTCACGGTTTGATTTTGTGCAGATTATTATTTATTTTTATACAATTAACAGAGATTCTTAATTTATGTTAGCATTTAGAATAACAATATTATTTTCTTAATTACTGTTTCATGAAAGATGTTTAGAGGGTTTTGCCAAAGTATTCTGGTCTTTAGCAGTTGCTGCTCTAACTGCACAACCAATGCTCATGCATTTTACCATCTGCAGTGGAATTAGGAATAGTGGTGTCAGTTTTTCTTCAAGAGTTTTGAAATTCACAACTTCTTTAAAGTTCATGTATTGGTGACACATGGCTAATTGAAACAAAGTTTGTTGTGGCTAATGCTAGACTTTTGCTTGATTGAGTAGTGTTATTATTTTTAAAACAGTATTTCTTTCTATCCAGGTTTGGACCTTGAATGCCCATTTTACTACTCAATATTTTATTTTCATTTCATTATCTTAGTTTACTATTTTTGTTAACTTCCTTTTCCACTTGATTTTGTGTATGGATATCTTAATATATATTTCATGAGAGGAGAAATATCTTTATTTTGTAGTTGTTTCCATTCTGGTAATTTGACATTACAAAACATTTACAATGAAAGATTTTGTTAAGGCTTCAAGTTATCCTGGCAGGGGTGTATAATTTGCTTTATTTGGTGGCTTTCTATTTCCTTTCCAGTAGAATATTTTATTGCCTCTAACCCAAACATTTCAGTACTTCCAGAGATATATGGAATCCAAGCTACAGCAGTGGTCTTCTAGTTATCTTTTGGTATTTGGTCTGACTGAATTCTTGATAACTCTGCCCACTATCTATCTACAGTAGATACATATTACAGGCTAGATTCTTGGGTTTAACTAGCTCCTCACAGTGCAAGACCCATTTGGGAGTTATGGTGCACATTTATCCCTCAGCAGGTTAACATGTATGCTGCTATGAGCAACAAGCTCTCACTGGGAATTAACTTTGTTCTTGCCCAGAGAAGCAATAAAAATATAATCCACAGCACATTATTCTGACTGCTGAGGAGTCCTGCCATGGTAAAACAGCATATGCAGAGAAGAGTGGTGGACCTTGACCTTAGTGTGCATAGGCCTCCTAAAATGAGATTTGTAATGCATTTTTTTTCTCTGAATAATTTCCCCTTTGTCTCCTGGTAAGATCAAAGTAATTTTTGCCTGAAAAACAATGCTTTTCAATAGAGGGGGGAAATATAGAGAAAAACATTTTTGGCATTTTACAGGTATATAAAAATATATTTCTACTGTTTATCAGCAGTGCAATGGTTATCACACAGTGCCAATCCACAGGTCATTGAAGCCCACATTGGCCAAAATGTAAACAAAGAAGATCTAAAGTAGTCTGCATCTGATATATAATCAACAGTTCAGCTGAAATTCAGTCTAAAAACTTAAGAATGGCCGTAGTGGGTCAGACCAATGGTCTGTCTAGTATTCTGTCTGTCACTATCTAGTATTCTCCCAGTATCCTGTCTTCCCACAGTGGCCAATGCCACATGCTTCGGAAGGAATGAACAGAACATGGCAATTATGGACGATCCAGTCCCTATGTGACAGTATATATAAGCCCCAGACAGCATGGAAGGGGTAAGGAGCTCCTTTGGGTTGGACTGGACCTGTCACGCTGCTGCTGCAAATCTCGCCACACTGGAGGAGGAGATAAAAGAGAGGGAACTCAACTCAGATGGGGACAACCCTGGGAAAGGTACAAACTGTTCGGCTTCTCCAGCCCTGGAGAGAGGATTGACAGCCTACTGAGCCCCTGCCCTTGCAGAAGGAGGGTGCAGAACCCCTGAGTTGAAGGGGAAAAGAACAGAGGCTTGCACTGGAGCCCAGTGAGCTCTGATACTCCCAGAGTCCCATATCCTGGAGGGAGCTGCTTACAAACATGTTTTGCTGACTGTGGGATGTTTGGTGGCATCACCAGGGACATAGAGAAGGGACTTGACAGTCAAGAGTCCCCAGCTAGAAGGTTAAAAAGATGCCCCACCGAACTCTCCAGGTTGGGGATGGAGTAATTGGATTCAAGCATGTGCGCTCCCCATATAACCCAAAGGGGGTACCCTACCCTACCACAGACAGATTTCTGACTGTCATCCAGTCCCAGCTTCTGGGAGTCAGAATTTTAGGGACACCCAGAGCATGGGATTGTGTCCCTGCCCATTCTGGCTAATAGCCATTGATGGACCTATCCGCCATGAACTTATCTAATTCTTTTTTGAACCCAGTTTTACTTTTGGCCTTCACATCATCCCATGACAATGAGTTCCACAGGTTGTGTGAAGCAGTACTTTTCAATATTTGTTTTAAACCTGTTGCCTATTGATTTCACTGGGTGACCCCAGGTTATTGTGTTAGGTAAAGGGGTAAAAAACATTTCACTATCCATTTTCTCCACACCATTCATGGTTTTATAGACCTCTATCATATCCTCCCTTAGTCATCTCTTTTCCAAACTGAACAGTCCCAGTCTTTTTAACCTCTCCTCATATGGAAGCTGCTCTATATCCCTAATATTTGTTGCTCCCCTCTATACCTATTCCAATTCTAATATATCTTTTTTTGAGATGCGGTGACTAGAACTGCACACAGTACTCATATACACAGGTTTATATAGAGGCATTATGATATTTTCTGTTTTATTATCTATCTCTTTCCTAACGGTTCCTAACATTCTGCTAGATTTTTTGACTGCCACAGCACATTGACCAGATATTTTCAGAGAACTATCCACAATGACTCCAAGACTTTTCTTGAGTGGTAACAGCTAATTTAGCTAACATCATTTTGTATGTATAGTTGGGATTATTTTTTCCAATGTGCATTACTTTGCACTTATCAACATTGAATTTCATCTCTATTTTGTTCCCCAGTCACTCAGTTTTATGAGATCCCTTTGTAACTCTTCACAGTCAGCTTTGGCCTTAATTATCTTCACCTGCAAACTTTGTCACTGTCCCTGCACTGTTTACCCGCTTTTCCAAATCATTTATGAATATGTTGAACAGCACAGGTCTCAGAATGATCCTTGGGGGACCCCACTATTTAGCTTTCTCCATTGTGAAAGCTGACCATTCATTCCTACCCTTCATTTCCTATATTTTAATCAGTTAGTAATCCATGGAAGGACCTTCCCTCTTATCCCATGACTGCTTATTTTGCTTAAGAGCCTTTGGTGAAGGAGCTTGTCAAAGACTTTCTGAAAGTCCAACAACACTATATCAACTGGCTCACCCTTGTCTACGTGCTTTTTCACACCCTCAAAGAATTCTAATAGATTGGTAAAGCATAATTTCCTTTAAAAAATCTCTCTTCCTCAATGTATTGTGTCCATCTATGTCTGGATGTTGATTAAAAGCAAATAAAATCTATAGATTATTAATATACCTTGGTACAGACCATGCAGACATTAATAATAAAAAATTCAAATCAAATTTTGCTGCCAAAGAAGGTCTATCAGAAGAGACACAGCTTGGTCCCTGTAATAATCTTTATAGAAATTGAAAAAAATTGCTCTTGGAAAAGGGAATAAACTGATTCACCACAGGCTTTCCAGTTCCAAGTATTTTCACAGGACATTTAAGATTAATTCATGGGGAAGATGTTCTAGTGCTCCCTCCAACAGAGATAATTCATGTTGTCTGTCTCTGCCTACTTTCTTTTCCAATAATCACATAACACTTTCTCTTTCAATCATGACCCGAAGATTTTGCATTCTTGCTGCATTGCTGCGCTCACCACAGATTCTTCCTGAATATTCCCTTCACACAGGATCATAGAGAAAGAGTCAGCATGGTACACAGGGTGACCAGGCGTCTGGTTTTCGACCGGAGCACCCGGTTAAGAAGGGATCCTGGTGGCTCCAGTCAGCACTGCTGACCAGCCTGTTGACTGTCCAATTGGCAGCGCAGTGCAGCACAGCTGTCAGGCTCCCTGCCAGCCTCTGCTTGGCGCGGCTCTCCGGAAGCAGCCAGCATGTCCCCCCTCCAGCTCCTATGTGTAGGGCAGGGGTGGAGAACCTAGGGCACGCGGGCCGGATCCAGCCCCGTGATTAATTTAATCTGGCCTGCGGTCCCCCTGTGGGACAGGAGCCACGAGCACCAACTCGCCCAGTTGTGGAGGGGAATCATAGAATCATAGAATATAAGGGTTGGAAGGGACCCCAGAAGGTCATCTAGTCCAACCCCCTGCTCGAAGCAGGACCAAATCCCAGTTAAATCATCCCAGCCAGGGCTTTGTCAAGCCTGACCTTAAAAACCTCTAAGGAAGGAGATTCTACCACCTCCCTAGGTAACGCATTCCAGTGTTTCACCACCCTCTTAGTGAAAAAGTTTTTCCTAATATCCAATCTAAACCTCCCCCACTGCAACTTGAGACCATTACTCCTCGTCCTGTCCTCTTCCACCACTGAGAATAGTCTGGAACCATCCCCTCTGGAACTACCTCTGAGGTAGTTGAAAGCAGCTATCAAATCCCCTCTCATTCTTCTCTTCTGCAGGCTAAACAATCCCAGCTCCCTCAGCCTCTCCTCATAAGTCATGTGTTCCAGACCCCTAATCATTTTTGTTGCCCTTTGCTGGACTCTCTCCAATTTATCCACATCCTTCTTGAAGTGTGGGGCCCAAAACTGGACACAGTACTCCAGATGAGGCCTCACCAATGTCGAATAGAGGGGAACGATCACGTCCCTCGATCTGCGCGCTATGCCCCTACTTATACATCCCAAAATGCCATTGGCCTTCTTGGCAACAAGGGCACACTGCTGACTCATATTCAGCTTCTCATCCACTGTCACCCCTAGGTCCTTTTCCGCAGAACTGCTGCCTAGCCATTCGGTCCCTAGTCTGTAGCTGTGCATTGGGTTCTTCCGTCCTAAGTGCAGGACCCTGCACTTATCCTTATTGAACCTCATCAGATTTCTTTTGGCCCAATCCTCCAATTTGTCTAGGTCCTTCTGTATCCTATCCCTCCCCTCCAGCGTATCTACCACTCCTCCCAGTTTAGTATCATCCGCAAATTTGCTGAGAGTGCAATCCACACCATCCTCCAGATCATTTATGAAGATATTGAACAAAACCGGCCCCAGGACCGACCCTTGGGGCACTCCACTTGATACCGGCTGCCAACTAGACATGGAACCATTGATAACTACCCGTTGAGCCCGACAATCTAGCCAGCTTTCTACCCACCTTATAGTGCATTCTTCCAGCCCATACTTCCTTAACTTGCTGACAAGAATACTGTGGGAGACCGTGTCAAAAGCTTTGCTAAAGTCAAGAAACAATACATCCACTGATTTCCCTTCATCCACAGAACCAGTAATCTCATCATAAAAGGCGATTAGATTAGTCAGGCATGACCTTCCCTTGGTGAATCCATGCTGGCTGTTTCTGATCACTTTCCTCTCATGCAAGTGCTTCAGGATTGATTCTTTGAGGACCTGCTCCATGATTTTTCCAGGGACTGAGGTGAGGCTGACTGGCCTGTAGTTCCCAGGATCCTCCTTCTTCCCTTTTTTAAAGATTGGCACTACATTAGCCTTTTTCCAGTCATCCGGGACTTCCCCCGTTCGCCACGAGTTTTCAAAGATAATGGCCAATGGCTCTGCAATCACAGCCGCCAATTCCTTCAGCACTCTCGGATGCAACTCGTCCGGCCCCATGGACTTGTGCACGTCCAGCTTTTCTAAATAGTCCCTAACCACCTCTATCTCCACAGAGGGCTGGCCATCTCTTCCCCATTTTGCGATGCCCAGCGCAGCAGTCTGGGAGCTGACCTTGTTAGTGAAAACAGAGGCAAAAAAAGCATTGAGTACCCTCTTGGTGCCTCCGTGTGGGGCTGGAGCCACTGCACCAGCTCATCCTTCTGACGGGGGAAGACCCGAGCCCCCATGCCATCTCCCGCCCCCCACGAGATAGGAGCCACTGCACTGGCTTGTCCAGCTGTGGGGGGAAGCCCCGAGCCTCCGTGCCCCCCCACCCCACCGTAGGGCTGGAGCCACAAGCGCCAGCTTGCCCTGCTGCAGGGGAAAGCCTTGGGCCTCTGTGTCCTCCCCTTCCAGGTGGTGAGTGGCCTGCGATTGATTTTTTTTCAGTGGGTCAACTGCCTGTGAAAGAAAAAAGGTTCTCCACCCCCGAGCCCGCACCCTCAGCCAGAGCCCTCACTCCTTCTGCCGCTGCACCCCAATCCCCTGCCCCAGCCCTGATTCCCCTCCTGCCCTCTGAATCCCTCAGTCCCAGACCGGAGCACCCTCCTGCACAACAAACCCCTCGTTTCCATCCCCACCCCAGAGTTTGCACTCCCAGCCAGAGCCCTCACCCCCTCGCACCCCAACCCCCTGCCCTGATCCCCCTTCTGTCCTCTGAACCCCTTAGTCCCAGCCTGGAGCACCCTCCTGCACCCCAAATCCCTCATCCCCAACCCCACATCAGAGCCCGCACCCTCAGCCAGAGGCCTCACTCCCCTGCACCCCAACTCCCTCCTCCGGAACCTCTCATTTCTGGCCCCACCCCGGAACCTGCACCCCCCATGCCCAGAGCCCATACCTCCTCCCACACCCCAAACCCCTGCTTCAGCCTGGAGCCTCCTCGCATACTCCGAACACCTTGGCTCCACACCCCCAGCCCGGATCCCCCTCCTCCACCCCAAGCCCCTCATCCCTGGCCCCACCCCATAGCCCACACCCCAACCAGAGCCCTCACCCCCTCTTGCATCCCATCCCACTGCCTCATCCTGGAGCCCCCTCCTGCACTCTGAACTCATTTCTGGCCCCACCCCAGAGCCCGCACCTGCAGCCAGAGCCCTCACCCACTCCCAAAACCCAGCCCCCTGAGCCAGCCCAGTGAAAATGACCGAGTGAGCGAGGGTGGGGAGAGCAAGAGACAAAGTGGGGGGGATGGAGTGAGCGGGGACAGGGCCTCAGAGAAGGGGTGGGGCATGCACAGGGCCTTGGAGGAGGGGGGGGCAGGGGCGGGGCAAGGGTGTTCGGTTTTGTGTGAGTAGAAAGTTGGCAATCCTAGTGGTGCATTGCACAGAGAGCAGCTCACCCATAAGGAGACATTGATACATACGCCTGAGGATCATTATACAATTGCTGACTAATTCTTCAAAAGTTAAATATTTTTACAGGTATATAAAATATATATGTATAACAGCTCCCAGGACCTCTGCAATGAGGCAGAGTGTACAGATTTGATGGTGGCTCGTAAAGTCAAATGAGTTAAGTTAAATGTGTTAAGTGTTGGCATTATGCAAGAAAATTTAATTTCTAAAGTTAATTACCATTCACAAAACCTCAAATTCTACAATGCTGAGGCATTTTAAAGTACCATTAAACATTAAGTCACATTAACTTTTAAAATTAATAATAAATGAATTTACAATTTCATTAATGAATAAAGCTAAAGGTTCTAGACAAGCGTACACAAATCCAATTAGCTAAGGTGCAAGTGGAAAGGTACTGAGTTAGATGCAGCTACTAAATAATTGACAAATTTATCCTCAGTCAGGTCTAGGTTTATTGTTTCCTTAAATAAGTAAGAACATTTGTTCCATAGAGATGATGATGAACAATTAGTTCAAATTATCTCCATTTGTTTTCCAGTCTACTACCAATTGCTTTCCATTCTCTAACAAAGAGCTGGAATTTTGAGATATTAATGCTCCAGACTCAGAAGAGCATCTTTGACCATAGTTTTTCTAGCAATGGATTATTATTAGTAGTAAATACCACTAGTGGGGGTAAAAGTAATAATTTCTGAATGAGGGTAAGATATACTGAAATCTGGATATCCTAATATAATACATTTCAAAAATATATTTAAATTAACTAACAGTACCTGATACCCACTGAAAAATTAAATCCATTAGTCCATCTTTAAATGCATCATCAAAAGATTTACTGGATTCTGGAAATGCTTTACAGAAAGCAACATAGATGACTTGTGACAAACAATCAGGATACACCTGCCAAAATAAGAATTAAAACTGAATATAATAATTATAAGGTTACAAAAAGAGCTTTAGTACTAATTTTATTATAGTTTTCATTCTGTTTACAAAAAAATTAAAGCAAAATGCAGTAATGATTGAACTAATGCATTAAAAATAGTTTGTCTTTATTATTTGTATGAAATATTAAACATCTGTGTCAAATATAATAGCAGGTATAATGGTCAATACCTTGCTGAAAACGGTTACAAGTCAAGGCTGGCAGCTAGAACAAGAATTGTAAAATGCTGATTCCAAAAGACTACATTTATAATCTCTAAATGAGTCATTATGGGCTCAAATGAAGCACAGAAGAGTGAATTGGGAATAAAAAACATTGCTTAAGGTTTAAGTAATCACTATATGTAATGAAAAGTTAGCATTTTGGAAAAATTTGCCATGTTTATTTTAGGATCACATTTCATTGGTCACCTATTGTTTGAGCCAGGTATTAATTTCAGATTGCCCACATATTGTTCTAACTTTAGAAGTTGTCACTTCTCTTTCTCTTTCTCTCTCACCCATACACACACTGCACTGTTTTCTCTACCTAGAATATATAGGTTCAGATATATGAACACTAACTTTTGCACCATGTCAGCATTTTTTATAAAGCTAAAAAAAGTCTATTCAGATAACATTTTCATAAGAAAATACGATGCAAACATTTCATTTTAACAATTTAAATCTATGAGTTTATTTTAAATTTCATATCAGGCATATGCGGGCTAAATAAAAACACAGCTGGTGCAACATATCAGTCTGAATTTTAAATATTAGCACATATCTGGATTCTGGTCCAAGCAATGTCATAATATATGTTGCATACTGAACACTTACACCATACAAATATACATGTAACTATCTCTACTTCTAATTCCTCCATGTGAGTGGGTGGCAACAGGACCCCACCCAGAACAACACCTCATAGACTTGCACATGGCATTTTTAGACCTAATGACTATTTTCTCTTGGTTGATTGTACCACTTTGTGGCTACAGGGCTCACAAATAGAGACACCAACAGGAAAAGTCTAGCCAGAGTAAATTGTTTGTAAAATATACAGAGTGAATGGTGACAAAATAGCCCAGTAATAGCTTAAATGCAGCCCCGCACTGGAGGAGTTCCAAATGCCACAGCCTCTCAGAGTCAGAACTACTGGCAGGAAAATCAAGAGTAAGTCCTAATTTATTGGATGTTCTTTGGTGCTCATCAACACAGTATCTGAGAACCTCAGATAAATTAATGAAATAATCCACATAGCTCCTATGTGAGGAGGAGAATATGAGTATATAGTGTGTCATCTGAGGATCTCAAAATGCTTAACTAATATTAGATAATTGACAGTTTAATTTTAATTGCCCCACTAATCCTAAGGAATGGTGCAACCCCTCTTGTAAGGTCCAGTAGATGACTTTTAGCTCAAGAAGCTGATAATTATGTCCTCAGCATTAACTTACATGTGATGTAGTAGAAATTTGTATTGTGCTTTTCAGTATGAGTATGCTACAAAAGGTAACATTTTCAAAAGTGCTTCAAGGCTAGATTCACAAAGGGGACTTAGGTGTTGCAACTCTGAGCCAAACTCCTAGGAGCCCTGCCACCCAGTGGTATTCACAGCACTGAGTTTGGAACCCAGGCTCCTCATACAACACATAGGGAGAGTTAGACACCTAAGAAAGGGATTTTCAGAAGCCAGTAGTGAAATGAAGAGGAAAGGGCAGGGAGAAGGCAGGGTTTAGGCATCTAAGCACCTGATTTTATGAGCCTGGCAGACAGGCCAGAGAGAGGTGTGTCTCTCTGCTCAGAATCTCAGACATGAAAACCCTCTCCTGTAGTTAGCCATCTATACCAGGTCAGCTGCTTAGATAACTCATGCCCTACTTGCCAAAATGCTCTGTATCTCTCTCTTGCTCATTTAGATACCTCTCTCATGCTGGCTCTATATGTCCCTGTTCCCTGAATGTTTTTTGCGCAGATGCTGTGTTGTGTCCCCTGCACAAACATACACTGCCCCCGCCACATCTATCAGTAGCCTGCATCCATACTTCCCGCTGCAGAGTCTGGCAGGTAACAGGTTTGCTTAGAGCACACCTACAGGATAAGGCCCTGAAGGTGAAGTAGGCATTGTCTTTCCTTCAGGGCTTCGGCTTCAGCTACTGCTCTGAGCAACTTGTTAGCTGTTGGGTGGCAGCAGCACTTAGCCCTGGTCTACACTGGTGGGGGGATTGATCCAAGTTATGCAACTTCAGCTATGTGAATAACGTAGCTGAAGTCGACGTACTTAGATCGACTTACTGTGGTGTCTCCACTACTGTGAGTCAACTGTTGCCGCTCCCCCAGCAACTCTGCCTGCGTCTCTCGTGGCGCTGGAGTACAGGAGTCAATGGGAGAGCGCTCAGGGATCGATTTATTGCATCTAGACTAGACATGATAAATCGATCCCCACTGGATTGATCGCTGCCCGCCAATCCAACGGGTAGTGAAGACATACCCTTAGACTGCTTTGTAAATGCTTACCTGCAGAAACTTAGGTGCTCAAGGTACCTAGGTAGCTAAAGGGATTAGGTGGCACATGAGCAGTGGCTTGGAAAATGTCAGTGGTGCCTACATAGTGGATTTAGGCACCTATTTACCTGTTTTGGTGCCTAAATCCCTTTAAAAGTCTGACCTTTTGGCCTCTGGTGCTTTTGAAAATTTTCCCTGGGCAGCTGCTGCTCCCTAACTTCTATTTCCTTTTGTTCAGCCAGGAAGCCCCTATACAGCTCTCCCAAAACATGTATTGGTTAAGCAAGGGAATGTTTGTGGCTATATGAGTTGGGGAGCTTGTCTCTGTATGCCTTTTCCCTCTGATATACCAATTTACATGAAATTAATGCATTTTTCCACACCATGTACAAGAGGGAAAAAAATAGTCTTACAAACTTGCCAAACTCATATAACTAATCATTGCAACTCATATGTTACCATACCATTACCTGAAAAAAAGCATCTTTAGTATTCCTGGGGACACATAGGAAAAGTGCCATGAAACTTTCTGCAATTCTGTCAAACAAGTAATCTTGATCTTCTTGATTAGGCTTAAAAGGAAAAATCAACATAAAATCAGAAACAGTTATGAATTAACATGATGATGGTCAGAATTTAGGTCCTGACTCAGCAGGGTACTTATGCATGTGAGCAATTCCACTACAGATAATGTAATGACTTACATGTTTAAAGTTAGACCTCTGCTTAAATACCCTGTTGAACTGTGATGCTAGTAATTTCTTGTAGCAGGTAATCTGATATGAGGAACAATACTGTAATCCATATTCCCAAAGTATTTTTACATTTTGCTGTATTCTTTCCACCCTTAAATTAACAGTTTTCTTAATGTATTGCGAAAGCTCTTGATTTGGCACAGCACTAAAACACATGCTTAATTTGAAGCATGTGTTTAATCCATCCCTATTAAGCACCACCTTAAATGTTGGGCTGAAGAGCTGTACTGAGTCAAGGAAGCTCACAAACACAGTCATGTACTGTATGAATATTTTCCCTTGGCTCCTCAGTTATGTACATATTGATAGTGTCAGGTAACAAAAGTAGTGATATTTTTGCTTTATGTTCTTATTTTTAATTATTTCAAAACAAAATCTTGCATAAATCTTAGCATCATTAAACAAAGTAAGCAAAGCGAAAGTAAACAGATAATTCTGGCTTAAAGTTTTATTTTAGTATTCAGTGATTTAAATCTTCTATCTTAAATGGCTCTTTGCAAGTAAAACGTATGTCCTCTGAGATCAGGTTAAAGTTAGACGTTTCATTCTGGACTTACATCTGCTCCTGTTGAATCTATCCAATCTATGAATCATGACTTTGTAAAACAAGAAATCTTTATTTTGTACATTTGATTAGAAGAGATGTAAGAATAACTTTTGTTATATGTTTATACCTTAAACTTCTGAAGAAACCACCACCAAAAACAATCCTGTAAAATAGCAATAGATGCTTCTGAGAGAAACAACTTTCGCCAAACTTTAAAAACTTCTCCCTGTTGAAACAAATTTTTTGTTTAATTTATCTATTCAGACTGTACAAATGCAAAAAGTTAAAGAGCGCAAGTGGTGCACTTCATAACAAAATCCAGCAGATAACAGAAAAATTTCTTAGATTCAGCAAACACGTGAAAAAAACCTCAAAAGGGAAATGCTTAGCTTTAAGTTGAAGAGAAGCATTTTCTTTCAAAATTATCCACTATTGAGTACAACACGGGGTACTCAAGTGGATACAATGAAAGCCTCATATTCTTAAATGCCAAGCATTTGTAGCTTGCATTGGCTTTGTCTGGAGATACAGATATTCAGCATATCTGAAACTCAGGTCCTAAATGTCTCAAATTTGGCACTCAGAAACTGAGATACACAAAATTAGTGAGGCCTTAGGTAGTGTTCTTTGCATTTGAATCCTAAAAATGAGTTCAGCACAATGGCAATTTAAAAACAATACCTCAGAGTATAAGAGTACAGTTAGCCAAATCAATAAAGAAGATTCATATATAAGTTCCATTTATTCCCCTCTGCATCAGGTAACAGGTATAAATTATGAACTGTGCATGGCCCCTGTGCAGAAGTACTAGTGAGGTTTTAGAACTGTCCTGATGGGTAGCTCTACAGGGCAAGGTACACATTAACCAATGGTGCTGGAACTAGGGTGCTGGGGATGCGGCAGCACCCTCTGGATTGAAGCGGTTTCTATCATATACAAGGCTTACAGTTTTGTTCAATAGCTTTCAGCACCCCCACTATAAAAACTGTTCCAACACCACTGAAACTAGCCCCAAAATATTACAATTAATGTCATAAAAAGACATTAAAACTCACATAACGGTATTTTTTCAACACTCTTATGTGGAGTGCAATTGCAGTCTTCTAATTTTTTTTTCAAATGAGGCTGTTATTAAAAATTATTACATTACACAAATTGTATTTCTAAAGTTAATTTTTTGAAATAGTTGTTAAATCTGTTACTACCTGATAATAACTGAGGGATTGTAAATATTATGTAATTTATGTACTGAATTTTTCTGGAATTCATGCATTTTGACTGTGTCAGGTTTATTTATTATGGCAGCTATTAATTTCCTGTCATTTCCTGAAGGTAAAGTAGTATCAGTATGACAAAAAACAGACTTTTTGGAATTGGGGGTGGGACTAAAATTATGGTTTTTGAACTGTCCAAGTCATTTTTTGGTCTATATAGCAGGCTTTCTGACAGCACTGTGTGCCAAACATGCATTCATAAGTAACTTTTTAAAAAAAAATTTAAACTTTAGAAGTAATGTTCAGTCCCTCAACATATATAGCAGTATATTTCCTTTCGTAAAAGTTATTACCAGCTATTCAAAAGTATGACAGTTGACCTAAACACTTATTTGGGATAAGTCTTCAAAGGGTTATAAAAGGTTATAGCTCTGCAGCTCCCATTACAGTCTAGGGATGATTTAGATTAGATAATAGGAAAAAAACGGAACTATAAGGATAGTTAAGACTGGAAAAGATTATCAAGGGAGGTTGTATAGTTCTTGTCATTGGAAGTTTTTAAGAACACGCTAGACATACATCTGTCAGAGATGGTGTAGGTATTCGTAAACACTTGCACCTTCTTTGTGTCATCTGTTAGTACTGCTCGTTCCCTGTTAAGATTTACACTTTCCTTCATCTTACTTCTAATGTATTTATAGAACCTTTTTATTGCCGTTTATGTCCTTTGCTAGTTGTAACTCATTTTATGCCTCTCTGATTTTGTCCCTACATGCCTGTGCTCTTCTTTTGTACTTGTCCTTAGCAATTTGTCCTTATTTTCACTCTTTGTATGATTCCTTTTTGATTTTCAAAAATCAATTAAAGAGCTCCTGATAAAGCTATATTTGTTTCTTCCTATCTTTACTCTGCTTTGGGATACTTTGCTAATACGGCTTTAATGTTGTCCCTTTGAGAAACTGCCACCTGTCCTGAACTTCTTTTTCTCTTAGATTTCTTTCCCTTGGGACCTTGTCTACCAATTCTCTACGTTTGTTTATCCTCTTCTAAACAAAAGAGGCAGCGGGAGAGTCTACTGGTAAGCGGCATTGAAGCTTCACATGAAGGGCAGATTTTGAACACTGCGAATTTTGTTTCTTCCATATTGTTAGTGCTCCTGTAATGGATGGAGGGGACAAGTCTAGCCGATAAATTAAATATCTCACACAAAAAATACCTAGTTTTGGTGCCAACTGGCAAAAAGACTAACTAAAACTATTCACTAAGAACTAACTAACTAACCGTAATAACTAACATTAGCACAGAGAAGCAAGTGGACACTGGAGGGGTTCCTTCTTGCTGCCACAGGAGGTAAGAAGGAACTGAGGGACAGCAGGGATCACTCCACCTTTTATGTTCTTGAGTGGGAGGTGCAAGAACATCTAGCAGGCACAGCCCTATTGGGCACTACTGCCCAAAAGAATCCCATTTGTACAAATAGGGTGCATATGTACCAAGAGTAGAATCCATGTGCACAATCTTTTAGAGAAACAAAGGGCTTGTCTTCACTTAACTGTACACTCGAGGTGTACCTCAAGTTTTTTCCTAACCTGATTCCTGTACATAAACACAAACCTCTAGCTCAAATTAAGTGGTGCTTTAAATTTGAGCTAGATAGCATAGAAGGGAATTTTGGTATGTACGTGTTAAAAGTTGCGTGCTGCAGCGCTAGTAATGCAATGGGATGCAGGAACTTGAATTACAACTCATCAGCTTCTAACAGAATCACTCTGATAATCCGATCACCCTCTGTAGTTTGAATGGTGTTTCCCAGTATGATCATTCTCACTTCCCTCTCACTTGAGCTTGGCAATTATCAGGACCCCACTTACAGGGCTGGGGTTGAGGCCAGGGTCAGGGTTATAAGGGACATGGTCTGAGTTCAGCCTAGAGGGTTCAAGGCCAGAAACAGCAGTCAAGTGTCACACCATAGGATCAGGTTGGAATCGAGGTCAATGAGTTGCACCATGTTAGAGACAAGTGAGTCAGCCAAAGTACAGTTAGTAGAACAGAGGCAGGGCAAGATGACAGTAATGGAGCAGGAACCAAGACAAGGTGAGGAGTTAGGAGCAGAGCAGGGGACCAGGAACCAGAAGCAAGGCTTGGCATCAGGAGCAGGACTAGGGCCAGGAACCATCAGTGAGGCAATGGATCAAGAGTGTGTTGCAGGGTCTGTTTGCAGCAGCAAGCTGGAAATCCACTGAGTTGCACAGACAGCCTCCAGATGTTTTCCCAAGGGCAATTAGAGAACACAGTAGGCTCTGCCAGTCAGGACCTCCATGGGTGAGACCTCCAGTGGAGCTTGAACCCATAGGGCTCATAGGCTGCTGTTCCCTGCTTCGCCAGACTTGTAGTTTGGCTGTGTGGACAAGGCAGCCACCCAGCAGCCTGCAAACCTGGGTTCCAGGTCCATGGATCCTCACTGCAGGAGTCCTGTAGACAATAGCCTCATGCCCTACACAGGCCTAATTCATTCTCTGAGCACTGTCCATCCTGTGCACTGAATGAGACATGGATCCTGTGCAAAAATACCATGTAATCATGTAATTAAAGACTATACTATAATGCATATACAAAAGGAGGCTGAATTAAGGTTATATAGGCAACCCTAATTCTGGCATTTTGGCCCACATCCCTAAAGGTATTAAGATTCCTAACTCCTATTAATTTTAATGGGAGTTAGGTGCCTAAATACCTTTGAAGAGCTGAGGCTTCCTAACTTCTGAGTCCTTGACTTTGCAACTCTAATGTTATTTTAATGTATTTTCCCTCCAATATAAGAATAGATCAGGTTTGAGACACAAGAAAAAGCTTTGAAGGGAAACGTTCATCGCTGCTGCCTGAGTTGAGCCGGTTGTGTGTATAAATAATGGACTTCAGTGTCTAGATTTCTCAATCTGGCATCTTTCATGAATTAAAAAAAACCTAAAGAAAAAATGGAATATGACCATTTTAAAATATACACTTATTTAAGATATAAACCATGAAGATTTGGTGCTATTTTATGTTATCAGTTTCTATTTAGCAAACAGGAGTAAAGTTACATACTTTGAAATTGTGAGCTTTTATAACCAAGTCCCAAAGTTTTGCTGCTTCCAAGTGTCTTGGTAATTCTGTAAGCTGTTTTAACTTGAAACCTGGGTATCTATAATTCTAAAAGGAAAAAATGTTTAATTACTGATTATTACCTTAAGGGTCTCCTGGTAGTTTTTCTTTTTTTGCTGAGAACATATCACTTCAAATGTATCCACCATATATTTTTTCTAAACTGAATTTGAAGGCACTTACCCCACAATGGAAATGTTCCATTGTTGGGAATCCCACTTTTTCAGTAGTATTTTCTTTACCGATTGCTTTCTCTGATTGTCTAGATTCAGTGAGAGGTCCAGGTATCAATCAGTCAAGGTACAGCAAGAAATTGCTGCCTGATCATTAGTAAATGTTTTGCATCCCTATGGTTCTGTCTCAAAAATTACTTCCCCCACAAGATATAGGATAAAACCCTGTCAAGGTGTTTTGCTTTGTTTTTTTTATTTAAGTCAGTAGTTCAGTTTGAGATCATATTTTGCCATTTCCCAGACCCTGCCTTCATTTCCTTGTTGAAGCTAGTCACTGCAGAGTCATTCTGTTAATTGTATGGCAAGTGCATACTAGATAGTGTCCCAGCAGAGGCTATGGACATAGCTAAGAAAACAATTCTCCTTCTCCCTGACATCACCCTCGTATAATTTGAACATTCTGTATGTTTTTTATTTCACGCTAGGAAGTGGGTCAGTTTGTATTTCAGAGTACAGAAAGCAAAATAAAAATAAGAAGAATGCTTAGAATTTACATAGCACTTTATGTGTTCAAAGCTCTATGCAGATTTACCACTCTATGCAGACAGATTGTAGATCAGGATAGGTTGTAGATCCTTGATGATGCGTTGGAGAGGTTTTAGTTGGGGGCTGAAGGTGACGGCTAGTGGCGTTCTGTTATTTTCTTTGTTGGGCTTGTCCTGTAGTAGGTGACTTCTGGGTACTCTTCTGGCTCTGTCAATCTGTTTCTTCACTTCAGCAGGTGGGTATTGTAGTTGTAAGAATACTTGATAGAGATCTTGTAGGTGTTTGTCCCTGTCTGAGGGGCTGGAGCAAATGCGGTTGTATCATAGAGCTTGGCTGTAGACGATGGATCGTGTGGTGTGGTCTGGGTGAAAGCTGGAGGCATGTAGGTAGGAATAGCGGTCAGTAGGTTTCCGGTATAGGGTGGTGTTTATGTGACCATCGCTTATTAGCACCGTAGTGTCCAGGAAGTGGATCTCTTGTGTGGACTGGTCCAGGCTGAGGTTGATGGTGGGACGGAAATTGTTGAAATCATGGTGGAATTCCTCAAGGGCTTCTTTTCCATGGGTCCAGATGATGAAGATGTCATCAATATAGCGCAAGTAGAGTAGGGGCATTAGGGGACGAGAGCTGAGGAAGTGTTGTTCTAAGTCCGCCATAAAAATGTTGGCATACTGTGGGGCCATGCAGGTACCCATAGCAGTGCCGCTGATTTGAAGGTATACATTGTCCCCAAATGTGGGGACAGAGCCAGAAGAGTACCCAGAAGTCACCTTCTACAGGACAGGCCCAACAAAGAAAATAACAAAACGCCACTAGCCGTCACCTTCAGCCCCCAACTAAAACCCCTCCAACGCATTATCAAGGATCTACAACCTATCCTGAAGGACAACCCATCACTCTCACAAATCTTGGGAGACAGGCCAGTCCTTGCCAACAGACAGCCCCCTAACCTGAAGCAAATACTCACCAGCAACCACACACCACACAACAGAACCACTAACCCAGGAACCTATCCTTGCAACAAAGCCCGTTGCCAACTGTGCCCACATATCTATTCAGGGGACACCATCATAGAGCCTAATCACATCAACCACATTATCAGAGGCTCGTTCACCTGCACATCTACCAATGTGATATGTGCCATCATGTGCCAGCAATGCCCCTCTGCCGTGTACATTGGTCAAACTGGAAAGTCTCTATGTAAAAGAATAAATGGACACAAATCAGATGTCAAGAATTATAACATTCATAAACCAGTCGGAGAACACTTCAATCTCTCTGGTCACTCGATTTCTGATCTCAAAGTGAGTATCCTTCAACAAAAAAACTTTGAAAACAGACTCCAAGGAGAGACTGCTGAATTGGAATTAATTTGCAAATTGGATACAATTAACTTAGACTTGAATAGAGACTGGGAGTGGTTGAGTCATTATATTAAGTGAAACTATTTCCCCTTGTTTATTCCTCCCCCTCACTGTTCCTCAGACGTTCTTGTTAACTCCTGGAAATGTGCTGGAAATGGCCCACCTTGATTATCACTTCAAAAGGTTTTCTCTCCCCCCACCCCACTCTCCTGCTGGTAATAGCTCATCTTAAGTGATCACTCTCCTTGCAATGTATATTTTTTCATGGTCTGTGTGTACATATAAAATCTCCTCACTGTACTTTGCACTTTATGCATCCGATGAAGTGAGCTGTAGCTCACGAAAGCTTATGCTCAAATAAATTGGTTAGTCTCTAAGGTGCCAGAAGTACTCCTTTTCTTTTTGCGAATACAGACTAACAGGGCTGCTACTCTGAATACCATTTTTGTGAGCTAAGTGGGTTCTGATCCAGTGATGTCAATAAAATTACTCGTGCAACTCCGGTGAGCAGGTTTTGGCCCTTAACTTTAGAGAAGTCTCAGAAGAACAGAGAACCTGATTTGCTATTTTTACATGTATCAGTAATATTTTTCTTAACTTAATTAGCTCAGTTATAAATACATTATTGTGTTGTCACAGAAGTTTAGATCTGTTCTTATTTCATACGATCTCCATTAAATTTGCTCAGTTAATATTTTAGTGCTTAGTTTCACAACACTGACACCTACCACTAACTTTATTTATGTAAGTAATCACATTGATGCCTCAAATGGAGCAGTCAGACTCCCTGACTGTCCCAGTGGTGCCTTGTGTGCTCTTACCAGTCAGATTTGGTTAAAGGCTCCTTTAACTTATGGCAGGAGCAGAAGCAGACTCATAGGTGGCTGGAGAAAATATTCTTGGGGCAGGGAGGCTCAGCAGGGGCATATCCATGAGTGGGCCTAGGTGGGCTATGGCTCACGCAGTTAGCACCGAGTAAGCCCTCCATCATACCAGTAGTGAAGGAGCTCCTTCTGGCAGAGATCAATTTTGGGGAGACTGAGTCCCCTCTATCGTTAGCTACTCACTGCCTATAAGCAGCCCCAGGAACCAGGAGAATATAAAACTGACACACACCCACTTTTGCTTCCCCCATAGGTTCTTCATTAAGCACACCTTAGAAAGATCCAAAAATTAGGCCCCAAGTATTCATACATGACATGTCAATTAAATCAAATTAAATCAACACACTCACACCATATTTGGATTTTCCATTATGCTGTATATCTAAATGTATATCATTAATAAAAATAATATTGAATCTTTAATATATATATTTGAGGCCTAATTCTGTATTCTTTTCTTTCCCTAAATTGCCACTAATTTAAACACTATTGACACAATATATTGGTTTGATATAATACTGTAATCTACTTTATATGCTTAGCAAACTTACCTTTACATTTTTTCTGCTTGATTCTTCAGTGATATATTTATCAATCTGAAAAATGTTTTAAACAAACATTCAAAACTAATGTTAAATGCACTTCGTACTATGAATTAAACATTTTGTATTCTCAGATGAAGGAAAACACTTTCAGCTGATGACATATTACAAGTCAGAACTTAAAATAGCCCAAGTATGACTTCAAATTGAAAAACATGGCCTGTGACACTCAAAGGCTTTAGGTCTTATCTACATTACAGAATACTGTGTGACAATATAAAGGACGATCATATTTTTGAGTAGGTTTATCTGTGTGATTATATAGGGTGGGCCACAGTCTCAGTCTAAGATACAAGATAGAGGCCCCTTTGAAAATTTGGTCTTCACTGTCTACACCTGTAACAGAATGAAAAAAAAAACGTAAAATAAATAGTATACCTTTGTTTTCCTCATCTTGCCTGTTTGAATCGAAATTTCTTCTGAATCAATACATTGAGTATCAGTGGCTTAAAAAAAAAAAGAGTAAGATTTAGCAACAAAATAGTCACCTCTATTTTTTCAGCTTCAGGACAAATTCAAGATCTTGGCCAAACTAAGGCTCCAAACATGGAAATACTTATGTGCTTAACTTTATTCAGTATGTAGTCCTACTGACTCATCTTTGAGATGAATAGTAGGCTCAATAAGACTCACATTTCCTTTATGTATATCTCATCTTCTGTTTAAGAACTACATTTGTGGAGGACGTGACAGGCTGAAGTCTCATTCTTGCAAAGACGTTTGTATATACAGTACTTTACTCATACAAAGTTAAGCTCATGCACAAGTTTTTACAGGATCAGGGCCTAAGCTTGTTCCTTTTTATTCTAAATTGACACTGGACTCATGCATTTGCAACTGGAAGTTAAGGGTTACACTTTAACTGAACAAAATGAACACTTTAATACACTGTGAGCAAACTGCTGTTAAGAGTCATTGCCCATGTCTAACACCTCCAGCATATTCACTTTATAAATTTAAAAAACACATTATCCAATTGCATCTATTTTGCACCTATTTGTTCTTTATCAGATGGAATAAAGAGGAGAGTCCACCCCTAGAACTTAAGGGGAGTGGTACCTTTCTTTTAAGTTTCTGACATTCGGGGGAGTTTGCACAGCTGTGGAATTCTGTGGTATTTATGCGTTCTTTACAATTAATGTTTTTTGACTCACAATACCAACACGAGGAATTAATCCAATTTTACAAATAGAGGACTGAACCGCAGAGTGATTAAGGGCTTGTCTACATGGTGGGGTAATGCACTCTGTGGGGCTTTGATTTCTAAAGCACACTAACATGCTGCACATTAATTGGTCCATGTAGACCCTGCAGGTGCACACTAAAGGTTCCTAGTGCTCTTTTAAAGCATACTAACAGGGTCTACATCGACCACTTAATGTGCAAAACTTTGGTGAGCTTTAGAAATCACAACCTGATAGAACACATCACCCTACTGTGTAGACAAACCCTAAGTTCCCAGCCCCATGCTTAACCAGAAGATTATCCTTGTGGGGTGGGGGGGGGGGAGGGAAGAAGCATGAGGCATTAGTGTTTAATGCCTTGTCATCAATTGTCATCCATGAACTTTTACTGAATTTCCACCATGTAAACCTTTACTTCATACTTTGTACTTTTCTTGCCATTTTGCAGGGCACAAAACTCAACTACCACATATTATTCAGAAAAAAATACCACTTCCAAAAAGTATCATTAGTTGCAGCTTAGGAAGTGTTGACTATCTGCTTTGATATAATTTGTAACTACCTGCGTGTTACTTTTGGGTCAAACAATGCTTTTCAGAACAATGTCTCTGTTAGGATATAGATATTCAGGCCTGTCCGTAAAGGCCTATACTCTAAGAATTTGGGTGTATTCTTATCACTTGGCTAGTTATAGAGGTATAAAAGAAAGAATCAAAATCACTGTCTGCTGGTGTAAGGTCCTTCTCTTACTGTGACAGTCTGAGGCCCTGTTCTTAGGCTAAGGCCTTTGGCTAAGCAACAGAGGCAGCCATAAGCTGGGAAGCGACGGTCACAACCTCACATTGAAATAAGGTGCTATTGGGCTGTTAGGAATACAGTCCTGTCCTGATAATGCCTATCACCTCCAGAGAAAGGGAAGTGCCTAGAAAATGTAAAAGAAAACTTAGCTTGATAGCATCCTGTCTGGCAAGAACTCACTTATCAATAGCTGGGATGTGAAATCCTCATTTCTGTATTGTTTTGTCATTATAGTTCCCACTTTGCTATTGTTTGTCTGTATAATCTCTGTCTGGTTCTGTGATTGTTCCTGTCTGCTGTATAATTAATTTTGCTGGGTGTAAACAAATTAAGGTGGTGGGATATAATTGGTTACATAATCATGTTACAATAGGTTAGGATTGGTTAGTTAAATTTCAGGAAAATGATTGGTTAAGGTATAGCAAAGCAAAACTCAAGTTTTACTATATAGTCTGCAGTCAATCAGGAAGTGAGGGGGAGGAATGGGAACAGGGAATGGGGGTGGGGAAATTGGAATCATGTTTGGCTAAGGGCCGGAATGGGAACAGGGACACAGGTGTAAGGCTCTGTGGTGTCAGAGCTGGGAAGGGGGACACTAAGGAAGGAAACTGAAATCATGCTTGCTGGAAGTTCACCCCAATAAACATCGAATTGTTTGCACCTTTGGACTTCAGGTATTGTTGCTCTCTGTTCATGCGAGAAGGACCAGGGAAGTAAGTGGGTGAAGGAATAAGCCCCCTAACAGTCTCTGACTTAACAGAATACAGCAGTTAAGTACATGTTCAAGTACTCTGCTGATTTGGGACTAATTTTAGGGATTCAGTGGCTGGCTCCACTCAGTCACTTTTAAGTAAGTGGCAAGCTTTCTTTCAACAGTTTTTCCATAGTTTTATTGTTGTTAGCATCTCATAATGTCATTGCAATGCCTAATTTAAAATAAATTTTAGCAAACAAACCAATTCAGGATCTATTAAGCAAGAAGTCACGAATGAAACAATTGTATCATGGGAAAACAAAACAAAACTTTTTTCAAAAGTTAGGGTGCTTGAAGTCCTGAAATTGATAAATCAAAACATTTGAAGAAAATGATAATATATTGTATATCAGGTAGCCCAATAGGATACAATGAGCATTCCCAGACTTTGAAAAATCAGGATGAATTTATATATAATTGTGTGGATATATCTTAGGAAATACTATAACTAATATTCAAAGAGTGTTCATCAGAAAAATAATAAAATAACATTTTTCTATGTACATGGAATTGAGTATTTTGTCATTGCAGTGAAGAAGCCAAGCAGAAATAATTAGATTTCAGCTCACAGATAAATTAATAAATCAATTGACAATCCTACTGTATCTACAATATCAGGACCACATCTCCCAGGAAATTCCAATATATACATAATGCAGAAAATAATACTGAAATCAGTTTACTAATATTTTCAAGGTACAAAATTTCATAAAATAGTAAATATAGAAGATAAATACTGGACAAGATTCTCAGCTAATGTGTACTGGCATATCTCTACTGAAGTCAATATCAGTTTATCTAGTTAAATATTCAAACACAATTATTTAGTTGCAATAATGATATCCCTGCAGCCATAGCAATTCAAGGTACAATCAGCTAAGCTAGTTCTAAGGAAAACCAATGTGCTACAGGTGCTGATGATTCAAGAAGTGGCCCTCCCCTTTCTAACCCACTATTGAACCAGAGGCCCAGCATGGACTGACAATGCATTGCTGGAAGTGTCTTTAAGATGAGATGTAAAGTTCAGGTTCTAATCAACTGTGGTGACTAAAGACAACACTTTCAGCCAGAGGGTATTTTTTGTGTTCACTTATCTGAGCCTCACTGATTGCACCAAAGGAATGCATATATATTTTGTGTAGGTGAATTGTAAGTATCCATTTACTCCCTTCCCCCTGAAGCAGGTGGACCGGGAAAACAGTTAATTGGCAGAGCCTTGGCTCCACATTCCCAGTGCATCAGACAATGTAGCTGAACTAGTGTAGGGTTATTGTAATTTGTTGTAAGTATAGGAAACAAGAAAGGAATTATGCCTCTTTGAGGCACAGGGACTCCCTGGACTACTCCTACAGTGATACATCTTATGCATATTGACAGGTTTCAGAGGAACAGCCGTGTTAGTCTGTATTCGCAAAAAGAAAAGGAGTACTTGTGGCACCTTAGAGACTAACCAATTTATTTGAGCATGAGCTTTCGTGAGCTACAGCTCACTTCATCAGATGCATACCGTGGAAACTGCAGCAGACTTTATATACACACAGAGAATATGAAACAATACCTCCTCCCACCCCACTGTCCTGCTGGTAATAGCTTATCTAAAGTGATCAACAGGTGGGCCATTTCCAGCACAAATCCAGGTTTTCTCACCCTCCACCCCCCCACACAAATTCACTCTCCTGCTGGTGCTAGCCCATCCAAAGTGACAACTCTTTACATAATCAAGTCGGGCTATTTCCTGCATAGATCCAGGTTTTCTCACATCCCCCCCACCCCCATACACACACAAACTCACTCTCCTGCTGGTAATAGCTCATCTAAACTGACCACTCTCCAAGTTTAAATCCAAGTTAAACCAGAACATCGGGGGGGGGGGGGGTTGGAAAAAACAAGAGGAAACAGGCTACCTTGCATAATGACTTAGCCACTCCCAGTCTCTATTTAAGCCTAAATTAATAGTATCCAATTTGCAAATGAATTCTAATTCAGCAGTTTCTCGCTGGAGTCTGGATTTGAAGTTTTTTTGTTTTAAGATAGCGACCTTCATGTCTGTGATTGCGTGACCAGAGAGATTGAAGTGTTCTCCAACTGGTTTATGAATGTTATAATTCTTGACATCTGATTTGTGTCCATTTATTCTTTTACGTAGAGACTGTCCAGTTTGACCAATGTACATGGCAGAGGGGCATTGCTGGCACATGATGGCATATATCACATTGGTGGATGTGCAGGTGAACGAGCCTCTGATAGTGTGGCTGATGTTATTAGGCCCTGTGATGGTGTCCCCTGAATAGATATGTGGGCACAATTGGCAACGGGCTTTGTTGCAAGGATAAGTTCCTGGGTTAGTGGTTCTGTTGTGTGGTATGTGGTTGTTGGTGAGTATTTGAAACAGATTGATAGAGCCAGAAGAGTTCCCAGAAGTTACCTACTACAGGACAGGCCTAACAAAGAAAATAACAGAGCGCCACTAGCGGTCACCTTCAGCCCCCAACTAAAACCCCTCCAACGCATTATTAAGGATCTACAACCTATCCTAAAGGATGACCCAACACTCTCACAAGTCTTGGGAGACAGGCCAGTCCTTGCCTATAGACAGCCCCCCAACCTGAAGCAAATACTCACCAACAACCACATACCACACAACAGAACCACTAACCCAGGAACTTATCCTTGCAACAAAGCCCGTTGCCAATTGTGCCCACATATCTATTCAGGGGACACCATCACAGGACCTAATAACATCAGCCACACTATCAGAGGCTCGTTCACCTGCACATCCACCAATGTGATATATGCCATCATGTGCCAGCAATGCCCCTCTGCCATGTACATTGGTCAAACTGGACAGTCTCTACGTAAAAGAATAAATGGACACAAATCAGATGTCAAGAATTATAACATTCATAAACCAGTTGGAGAACACTTCAATCTCTCTGGTCACGCAATCACAGACATGAAGGTCGCTATCTTAAAACAAAAAAACTTCAAATCCAGACTCCAGCGAGAAACTGCTGAATTAGAATTCATTTGCAAATTGGATACTATTAATTTAGGCTTAAATAGAGACTGGGAGTGGCTAAGTCATTATGCAAGGTAGCCTGTTTCCTCTTGTTTTTTCCTACCTCCCCCCCCCCCGGATGTTCTGGTTTAACTTGGATTTAAACTTGGAGAGTGGTCAGTTTAGATGAGCTATTACCAGCAGGAGAGTGAGTTTGTGTGTGTATGGGGGTGGGGGGGATGTGAGAAAACCTGGATCTATGCAGGAAATAGCCCGACTTGATTATGTAAAGAGTTGTCACTTTGGATGGGCTAGCACCAGCAGGAGAGTGAATTTGTGTGGGGGGGTGGAGGGTGAGAAAACCTGGATTTGTGCTGGAAATGGCCCACCTGTTGATCACTTTAGATAAGCTATTACCAGCAGGACAGTGGGGTGGGAGGAGGTATTGTTTCATATTCTCTGTGTGTATATAAAGTCTGCTGCAGTTTCCACGGTATACATCTGATGAAGTGAGCTGTAGCTCACGAAAGCTCATGCTCAAATAAATTGGTTAGTCTCTAAGGTGCCACAAGTACTCCTCATCTTATGCATATGTTTCCCAGAACTACTCCTGAGGCTACACCTTATGCACCATCCCTTACTCAAGGCTATACATGAAGATACAATCTAGCCCTATTGAACACTGCATGATCATTTTCTACTGTTCAAGTTTCATTCTACTTTATTTCACTGGATGTTTATCCAATTCTCTGTCTATATATACACACGGCCTTCCTCCCCCACCTCCCCCATACTAGACAGCATGCTCTCACATCTATTTCCAAAAACTGAAACTTAATCACAAGGGCTATGCCAGAATTTAAACATTGGGAAATGAATTAAATTACTTCATTCACCTTTCAACCATCATTCCCAGTAGTAATAACTAAAATAATTGCCCATTACTTTGCTCTAGTGAAACACGATGGTCATCTTCCTCTGTTGGTCTTTGTTGAAAAGAAAATATTTTTTCAGCGTGTTCCTTCAATTCAGTTGTGCACTCATTTATTCTCTTCTCCAAATCTGAGACAAGGCTGATTTGTACTGGAGCATTTTCATACAGAAACTTAGAAATAGCATCAAATGAATAGTTATTTCTTAATTTGTCCACCAAAGGACGATCTTCATCAAGAAAGGGAAATCTTGGCCAATCATCCTGCAATAATTACATGTTAAAAATAATTACTCATAAGCATAATCAAAAATGTTAAAATAAAATTAAGAATCAATCATATGTGACATTTATATTTTTAAAATGCATTACAGTTCCAGTACAAACACACTTTTCCTATTCATTTTAATGACCTCTAATTTTGACATCATTGTTTAAAGGACTCTAATTTCTTCTTATGTTGAATAGTGCACTCACATTTGGTTACATCAGTCAGCAAAAAAAAGGAATGGGCCAGAGAAGGGCAGAACAAATTCACGTTGGGAGAAGGGCTTTATACAAGGACTAATTAACAAGACTAGGACTTTTTAGTTTAAAAAGGAGACATCATGCATGGAAGAGTTATCATGGTTCTAAGGACACAAATAAAGTCCTTTGTAATTTATGTTCTCTGAAAGTATAGTAATGTCTTCTATCTGTGGTGCATGCCCTTGGAAGCAGAAGCACGGATTAAGGTACTCAATCCAGAAAAGCATTTAAAACTAGTGCTTAATTTAAGGCAAGTATTTGATCCCATTGAAGTATTTAAAATTACCCATGGGATTAAGTACTTTGCTGGAACAGGGATTAAATGCTAAAGTATACAATCATAATAAATTGATGACGACTATACCAGATTGGACAGTGTTCAACCCCACAGTAAACAGTAGACATGTTCTAATCCAGAGATCGGCAATCTCTGGCACGCGGCCCATCAGGGAACTCTGCTGGCGGACCGGGACGGTTTGATTACCTGCAGCGTCCACAGGATCAGCCGATCGCAGCTCCAACTGGCTGTGGTTCGCCGTTCCCTCAGCCTACACCAATTCCCACAGGCCCCATTGGCCTGGAATGGTGAACCGCGGCCAGTTGGAGCTGTGATCGGCTGAACCCGTGGATGCAGCAGGTAAACAAACTGGCCCGGCCCGCCAGCAGAATTCCCTGATGGGCCACATGCCAATGGTTGCCGATCCCTGTTCTAATCTGTTAATAGTGTTGCTCCTTTTGACCTGAGCTGTTAGCCAAAAATGTGGGGTCCAGTATGTTGTCGCAGTTAGGAGGAGAAGGGGGTGATAGGTATTTCTTTCATGCAGTTTTGTATATTTACAAAGAATGTATGAAGTTCTGTGTCTCTGAATGCAGAAGCAATCAAATAGCAGGAAACAGCTTTCTTTGCTCACAGTACAAAGAGCACTCTTTTCACGCTACACCCCAACCCAAAAACCTTGCCCCAGAAATCCCACTGTGCTTTCATTATCTCCTTCAGGCTGCCTCTCCCTCAGTCTTTCCCTGGTAAATGTCTCCCATCAACCCACCCCAAAATAATACTCAACAAAAGCTCCTGGGTGGGTTCACATACTTATTTTCTCTTCGCTGGGGGCCTATCCTTACAGTTATGTTAATTGAAGGGTGAATTCACACCTGTCAATCTCAAATGAGGTTTTAACTCAACCCATACAAGGTTTCACCCAGATATCAAACTAATCATCCCCTGTAACGAATAGATATCGGTCCATTGCAGTGTTCTCTCTCTCCAAACAAGAATGGATGATTGGCTGAAGCATCACTAGTAATCAGTCTTAATATGGAATGATTTGGTGGTATACAGTTTGTAGAATTTACAGGGAGATCAGGAAAATCTCCCCTATAAGCTTATCAATGCAAGACAAGGTAGAATGGCTAGAATAAGCAAAACTGATCATTCCCCCTTTCACAGTTACCAGAACTTTTTGTCTTTGGGTTTACAGCCTTGCCTTGTTGTTATGGTAATAAAATTGTGGCCTTGTCATCTATTTTAAACAAGGCATGAGTCAGTGCTCTCTCAAGCATGCCCCCCACAATAAAACAGGAATTACTGCTACAACAGACACAAAACTTCCTCCACGGCCTATCTATGAAAAAAATGCAGGTTAACAACAGAAGTGCTGTTCTCTGGAAGGTTTGCCATTTCTACAAAGCACTTAGTTTTCACTGCCCACGTTCAAACTTGGTTTTCAATATTTATATTCATATGGCTTTTCCTCAAGGCCTTGTTCTTGCATGTTTACTCCACCACACAAACACACACACGAGTAGTTAAAATAATAAGCATTTCTACTTACCAATTTCTGAGACTGTAAGAATTCTTCAAAAGTACCAGGAGGCCCTTGCATTTTCTATCAACATACAGATATGAATTACTCTTATAAAAATACCTTATAAAATTAAGATAGAATTTAAGGTACTATTCTTAGTAAACAAAGCAAACACCATGATGTATACAGTATATGCTCATTAGTTAGCACTAATAAATGAGAGACCCATTGAGTGTTACCAAATTTTGATAATTAATAAACATGAGAACAAGTGTGAAGACAAGAAAGGACACAGCATCACAAAAATGTAGTCTTTCATGTATTTTGACTAGTGTGAAATATTTATAAACAACACTTTTTAGTATATTAATATATATACTGTAATATACTTTGTAAAAGTAGGAAAGTCTCTTAGTATGATAATCTGTATTGTTCTTAACAATTCAATTTTTGCTTAGAAGTGAGGAGAAGTATCACGTTTTCAGATTAGCAAGTAGTCCCATATAAATCAACCCACTGACATTTCCTGAGTTTAGGGCAATTAAAAACTCAATCATAATTTTAAAAAAGTCTAGGCAGAAAACTAGCCTGAGAAATCTTTTAGAAAAGTTATGTCACGGAAAATAGGGGCCTGGTAAGGGTCACCACTGACAATGCCAGATTCGGGACAGACTGCAAGAAATAGGGCAGACACCTCCCAAAACTGGTGGTTTATTCTATAATTAGATTTCACAAAGCTAGTATCACCACATTGGTAAGCAATAAGTCGAAACAAGAAGCCCGTAAGCATTCCAGCCCCTGGCTTCTTTCTTAGTTAACTGGACTTTTATGATATAATGATTATTAAAATCAAAATACCACACACAGGGTTCTTCCAATCCCAAAGGACCAGCCACTATCCCCAGGTCAATATAAACACTTCAGGATCTCACCAAAATACCATGCTACAGTCAATATTTAGTAAACTAACTGAAGTTTTATTAAGAAAAAATGAAAAGAAGACAGCTATTAAATGGTTAAAGTGAATCATATATTTTACAATTGATTTCAGAGCCTGTAAATCAGAATATATTGAGTCCAGTTGTTCAGCATAGGTGTAATGTCTGCTAAGTCTGTTTTAGTGTCAGACTCCTTTCGTAAGTTTGTCAGGGTTTACGCAGAATAGATTTGGGGAGTCCTATCTTGCATTTGGAATAGCACCCTGAATAGCATCTAGAAAGACCAGAGCTACCAGATCTTGCCCAATGCTTCTCTTTTTATAGCTGAAACAGGCTAGAAAGCTGACCATCGTCATCCCTACGTGGGATCTTCCTTTGATGAAGAATGAAGCAATACAGAAAGCTTGTGGTCCTCAGTATGACCCATGCTTCCGTTGATGGGCCACTCAATTGCTGCAGCCATTCAAAACTACTAAGGTGGTTTACAAGTGTTTTTTCAATGCAATTCAACAAGCTTCAGATGGTAATGTTATTGACACAGGCTATTTTAGTAAGCTTCATCTCAAAGTTAAATACAGGTTTTTCATCTACTAACAATTGAGTATAGTTGCATATATAATGTAAAGGCAATATAGAATTACAGGATATGAAAAGGATTTAGCCTCTACAAGCTAATTTGGCTACATTGGTAAACTTTCAACAGGATATAGATAACCACAGACAAACACATTTAGCATCTACTCTTGATTTTTATCAATACAAGCGAATGGGCTTATGTTTATCAGCCTAATTAACATCTCTTTGATACCCACACACAATCGCAATGCCTCTTGACATGGCTTTAAGAGTCATAGCCAGGTGAACTGCCTGTTGCTTTCACTCCAAGCTGGCATGCTTACACCTACTCCCCACAGTGCTCCTTGGCTGTGACTCTGCATGCCTCTTGGTGGCACTGTAGGAGCATCAGCTGTCGATGGGCTCTGCAGACCTAGGTTCTAATGATCCCTGAATCCTTACATCATCCTCCACTTCAGGGCCCCTTCCTCTGGGTGAGTGCTGGACCTGGTTAATCCAGCTGGTTTTGATGAAGCCTTTTTACCAGGTCAGGGGCATGGACATAGGCAGCGGGCTCCCAGGAGCATTCATTGGGCCCATTGCCCTCCCAATCAGTTAGGTAGCACAGTCTAGCCCTCTGCAGTTTAGACTTGAGGATAGAGTGGCCTATATATTCCTCGTGCCCATGGACCTTGACTGGCAGGGGCAGCTGTTGAGACCAATCGGGAAAGCAGTACTCTTTGTAAGGCTTCAGGTGGGATACATAGGAAATGGTATGTACCTTAAGAGATCAATGGAGCTGTAATTTGAAGGTGACAGGATTGATTTACTGAAAAATCTGGAAGAGTTCAAGAAACTGGTGGTCTAGAAAGGATTTGTAGTCCCTTTTTGCATCTTTGAGATGGTCCTTAAGCTCCTCCTGGATACGGTGAATTTGCTAGATCCAGTCACCAGCTGCTGGGTCCAGGGAGGCCTCTGGCAAGGCTGGTTGGAAGCAAGGGTGGAAACCCTAATTGGCAAAGAAGGGACTCTGCCCCATGGAGGTGATGTTGGTGATGTTGTATGAGAACTTAGCATAAGGAAGGAGGGAGAGTCAGTTGTCTTGATGGTAGCTGACAAAACACTTTAGGTATTGCTCTGACACTTGATTCATGCTCTCCATCTGCCCATCTATCTGGGGTAGTATGTGGAGGAGGTAAAAGCACAAACATCCATTAGCTGGAGCACTTCATGCCACAAAAGTGAGACAAACTGTGGACCCCAGACTGAGGTGATACAGGTGATACAGCCTGGAAGTCCATGAACACAGAGTACATGAACCACTAGGAGCTCATTTTTAGGTGTTTTAGGTGTTTCAGCAGAGGGCAGGCAGGGATGAAGTGCACCATTTTGGTCAGTTGGTCTACAACAGTCAAAACCATGGTGTGGCCATCAGAGGCAAGGAGTTCTGATATCAAGGATGATTGAGGCCCAGGCTCTAGGCAGGATCTCCAGGGGTACTAGGACATCAAGGGGCATAGTACAGGGTGTCTTGGTGCACACCCTCTGGTCACAAGAGTCAATGTCATCCCGGACTTCAGATTGCATAAGAAGGCCACTAGAACAAAGGAGAAGCTGTGCGGAACAACTTAAGGTGGCCAAAGTGGTGTCATGGCAGAGATGGAGCACTTCTAGACAGGGGCACCTTGTTGGAACATATATGCACCCATGAAGGTAGGTGATGCCATCCTGTGTGGCACATAGCATTTTGGTTCTGGACCTCATTTGATCAGGATGTCCTGTTATTTCCTGGAATAATGGATTGCTCCACAAAGCAGAATGGATTAGATCAAGGAGGTCTCGGCATATTGTGGCACTAAGGAAGCTGTGAGGCTTTAAGAGACAGGGTGGTTGTTGGTTAGGTTCCTTGCCCTCCTCCCCCTTTCGGGATAAGGTGTCAGCTTTCCCATTCCTGGTTGGAGATAAGTGATGGCGAAATCAAACAGAGAGAAGAATAATGCCCCCCTGAGCCATCTTTGGTTCAAGGGTCAAGGCAAAGACATGTCCTGGTTAATGCTTAATTTGTAATGAAAAAGGTGCTGGGGCTCAACAAATAGGTGCTGGGGCTCAAGCAATTTTTTACATTCAAAACTGATGTAGCAAGCCCAGAGGTGCTGGGGCTAATGAACTGCCAAGCCTAGAAGTGCCAGGACTCAGCCCTGGCAAGCCCTGGCACAAATTAAGTGCTGGTCCTGATGCTCTGCAATAAAAACATAGATTATTGTGCCATTGCCATTCATTTTCTTTCAGGGTCAAGTGTCAGTGGCCCACATCAAACTGCATTAGTTCCTAGCTGGGCCCTGGGGTTTCAGTGTGCCCTCTTCTCCTCCTTTCACTCATGCAGCTGGTTGTCAATGTGGAGAGAGAGGTCAATGAGTGCTTCAAAGTGGGTCGGGGTCTCAATGTGGGCTAGGTCATCCTTTACTTCCTCACTAAGTCCACACTGAAAATGGTGTAGTTGGGCTGACTTGTTCCACTCAGTGCCAGCAGTGAGTCACTGGAACTAGGCAGCATATGAGGCAGCTGGACCTTGGTGGAGCCTTTGTAGTGCTGCTTCCACTGAGGAAGTATGGTGAGGGTCATCAAAATTTGCAGAAAATGCTTTCAGGAAGGCATTCCAATCTGTTAACACTAGGCTGTTTCACTCCAGCAGCAGGGAGGTCCAATCCAACACTTCTCCAGCAAGCAAACTGATCACTATTTCCCACCCTGGCTTGGTCTGTGGGATACATTCAAGGGCAGCACAGGAAATGGAGACAAAGTTGGTTCAGGAACACTAGAACTTCTGGTGGTTCCCATCAAAATATTTGGGTAGTGGTACCGTGGGGACCTGTTCAGAGGGCAGTGGCCCAACCCATGCCCGAAGCACAGAATTCCCTTCCTGGGATCATGCAAACTGCTCACAGAATTTCTGATTTTCTGCTAGGAGCTGCACCACTTACGACTGCAGCAGATGGTTCTTGATTTGGAAATGTGCGACCTGCTCCTGAAGATCTGGTATACCATGGGGTCCAGAGGCTGATGGTAGACCTACCCTTCCATATCCCTGTGAAGGAGCTCCCACAAAAGGGTTGGAAGTGGGTCTGGGTAAACTGCAAGGGACCAGGACATAGGCAGTCTTGCCTAGTGGTCACAGCTGGGCTGGAATCCACATGTCAGGGACAATAGTCCATGAGCAATTGCTAGAGCCAGGTTCAATAAGCAAGAGTCAGGGTCAAAGTCAGGCCGGGGTCAAAGACCAGAGGTAGTACCAGGCTGGAATTAGGAGGCAGGAATCAGGGTCAGCATCAGGCTGGAGTCAGAGACTGGAGATCAGAAGTACTACCAGGCAAGAGTCAGGCTGAAATCAGAGAGCAGACATACTCAGCTTGGAGTCAGGCTGGGATCAGAGGCTGGAGACCAGGAGACAATGTGCGGTCTAAAGTCACAGCAAGCCTGAAGTCTATGTGGTTGCCCAGACAACTTCATTGGGCATCCTCTAGGGTTAAATAGCGCAGTGGCTCTCAATCTTTCCAGACAAATGTACCCCTTTCAGGAGTCTGATTTGCCTTGTGCACCCCCAAATTACACCTCTGTGGGACTATCAGCTGTCCCAGGTTCTACAGATCTCCTTACAATGTCAATATTTTAATGTTTCAAATCATTGTATAAAGCAGAATGCAAAGGAATTAATAGGTTTCAAATACTGTGGAACTCCTTGCCAGAGGATGTTGTGAAGGCCAAGACCATAACAGGGTTCAAAAAAGGACTAGATAAATTCATGGAGGATAGGTCCATCAATGGCTATTAGCCAGGGTGGGCTGGAATGGTGTCCCTAGCCTCCGTTTGCCAGAAGCTGGGAATGAGCCACAGGGGATGGATCACTTGATGATTACCTGTTCAGTTCATTCCTTCTGGGACACCTGGTACTGGCCACTGTCAGAAGACAGGATACTGGGCTAGACGGACCTTTGGTCTGACCTAGTAGGGTCATTTTTAAGTACTTTTGGTCTCCCACTTAAGAAGTGCTGAACTCTGGCAACACCCAATAAAGTGCTTCTTAATATCAAACACATGAAGATATTATTTGAATAAAATAGCAGATGGTACCATTTAGTAAACTCTGTTGTGACAACATTTTAGCAATAAGAATCGTGGGACTATTATAGAATAAGCTGCTGTCCTGGTCATATAAACGAAAGCTTTTTCCACTTACAGTGTCACAAAATGTGAAAAGTTAGTTCCTGAAAAAAGAAGCTTTGATACTGTAGTGTATATCACTTTACAAACCTATTGTGACTGCCATAGAGTGACAGTGAAATAATAGAACTCCTGTGAAACGTAGCGACTTTTTTTTTTTCTGCAGTATATTACACATTGCCAACAAGAAAACATGTCAAGCCAAAAGCAACAATAAGATCTGGTTAAATATTGCTCTCAGTTATATCCATGCACTCTCATTGAAGTCAATGGAATTTCATCAGTGTACTGTAACTGAGATCAAAATCTGGCATAATATCGGTCTATAATGTCAGCATTTTGCCAAAGAATATTGTCTACAATACCACTATGAATAATATACCACAGACTGCTCCTTTATTGTGTTTCACTGACTCAGGAAAATACGCTGCATTCCAAATTCATTTTTAGGCCTAATCATTTTGATCTAAAGACACAACTGCTGAACACTGAATAGTAATCGTTTGAGTACAAAGACCAATAAGTGACTAAATATTCATTAAATCATTTGGAAATTCATTTTAGTAATATGGCATTATTTATGTTACTAAATCTTACAGCATAATCTCTCAGTCATGCAAAACTGCAGAGGACAATTTGTTTCCAAATCTAAAAGAAGCATTTTTTTCTTGAGGGAATCCAAATTTGGTAGAAATTTGTGAAAAAATGTAAATGTCATGACAAATCAGGTACATTTCATATTTCATTTGAAATACTGAAAACTTCTGGATATAAGTCTGTATGTTCAAATTGCAACTATGAGTGACCAATGTACAACAAGAATGGCAAAAGCCTGAAGCATTATTAAACGTACTAAAGTACATTAACAAATAATAAATCTTCTATAGTATCTTTTATTCAAAGTTATCACAGCATTTTAAAATTATTAATTCATTAAGCATCACAACACCTTAGTGACATAGGCAAGGTTATCTCCTAATCATTTTGTTTAACAGTGAAAAAGTGCAGCTAGTCACATTTAAACAGAACTCAGGTTCTATTTATCAGCACACTTCAATATAATACAATAGTATAAGGTAATAATAATAATAATCTTGTCTCTACGTGCACTCCTTGTCAATGGAATGAAACATAAACAAAAACATAATAAAACATAATAGTATCCTCTTAAAATAAAAAAAAAATAAAAAGGCAAGATTAATTTAGAATAGGGTAAGTAAAGGATAGTAACAAAAGATGAAAATATAGGGTCAACAGTTATCATTCTAAAACATTTTTTTTAAAGTTTTAAGATGCTTTGAAAAGTAAAGAGGGACACAATGAGATGGATTTCGGGCAGCTGAATGTTCAACACTTTGCAACCAACTGCTGCAAAATTCAGCAGAATTACTGTGGCTCACTAGAACAGAATTTGGTCCATGGGCCTTTTTAATATCTTTATAAACTCTATATTGGAAGGTGTGTGGGTGATCAGAATGTCTATTTCCTATAAGTTTAATCAAAATATTGTCTAGTGTGTCAAAATTAATGTGCAAAAAGAAAAGGAGTACTTGTGGCACCTTAGAGACTAACAAATTTATTTGAGCATAAGCTTTCGTGAGCTACAGCTCACTTCATCGGATGCAAGAACGAAAGCTTATGCTCAAATAAATTGGTTAGTCTCTAAGGTACCACAAGTACTCCTTTTCTTTTTGCAGATACAGACTAACACAGCTGCTACTCTGAAACCTGTCAAAATTAATGTGAGGCACTATATTTGAGCAGGTCGCAGAAGTGTGGTCTTTCTCTATTCTAAATACTATGCAATATAAAAGATTATGCTTTCCACTTATGCAAATAAGCATAATCTCTCCACCATAACCCTGCTAATCCTTTCGATCAGCAGTATTTGTTCAGTGTTATTATAATGAATGAGAAACACGGTGGTTTAGGAATCTTGTTTTACTGCAGTTAATGGGGGACTGAAGCAAGATCTTAATTTCCTTTTTTTTTAGTGCTGATTATCAAAATATAAGCTAAACAGAGCTTTCTTTTTCTTATAAACAGCCAGCTCCTGATTTTCAGTGAATGCAGCAAACTGTAATGTTACCACCACTGAATCTTGCACCACCCGCAAAAAAACTGCTAAACATAGTGAAAAAAGGTGGTAAACAACAACGATGGAGAAAACGTTTACTGGTAATTAAAATGTACAGAGCACTTTCATGTGGCTTGGGTCAAATCTTATGTTGTAGGAATGTAAAATGTATCTGAGGGATTTTATTCATTTTTTTAAATGTCTTTTTGTTGTTTATCTTGTTGTTTATCCTCGACCCCTATCCCTGACACCAAACAAGTATATATGATAAATATTTATTTTACCAGTTTAATACGTTATTTTGGGGCTAACGCAGAAACACACTAAGCTTTCAGCAGCACTACACTATTTTTGTAATAAAACCTAAAATTTTTTGGTTATTTTCCTATTTTCATGCTTCGCATCAGTACTCTTGAGTGCCTGTTTCAACAACTTTTCCTTCCTCGTTAACCATGACACACACAATGGGGGAAATATCCCCCTGGAGACAAGCCATTCTGTGAACAAAACAAGACCCCCTTGTACTCTCCTTTGCGTGGATCCAGGACCACTTCTGAGACGGGGTGCACGACTGTCCTACTCGGGATGCCCAGAAATGGGGAGGGGACGAACCCGACTCCTGCGATAGCTGCCCCTCCCCTTCAATTCAAACCACGGCTTGTATCAAACCCCAAATCCCAGTCCGCGTGGGGCAGAGAGAGGCAGAAGATTAAGGGAGGGGGCCTCTCCTTTTCCCTGCCCTTACCCTCAGGAACCCCGCACGGTGCCGCGCACCCTCAGTACCTGCCCCTGCCCCAGCAGCGAACGGCGGCAGCGGCGGCAGCACCAGCAGCAGCTCTGGCCGCTGTGTACCGTTACTAAGGCCCCCTAGCAACCAGGCGTCTCCTAAAAAGCGCTCCCTCGGGTGGGTTCTTCCGGTGTCCCGCACGCCGGCAGGCCGAGGCCGGGCGCTTTGGTTCCGGTTGCGGAGTTCAGACCCGGGCCCAGAGTTGGAAGCGCTGCCGAGCGCCGTAGGACTGGGAGCAGCCGGCGTTTCTTTAGGGCTGGAACTGAGCGAGTGGCTGAGGCGGGGGTCTCCGGTGATTATCCAGACACGCGGGGGGAGGCTGGGGCTGGAGCTGGGTCAAGGTCAAGCAAGCCAGCCTGCCTGGATTCCTCCAGGTAAACGTCTGCCCTCCGTGGGGGCCGGGCCTGGGCACCTGCAGCGCCTCCTGGCCCGGGGGTGCCTGATTCTCGGGCCCCGCCACTCGAGCAGGGGTTAAAGGGGCGGGCTGGTATTTGTCCAGGGCATGCGGAGGGCCCTCGCTGAGGTTTGCGGGGAGGGCCCTGTGGGTAGATGATGCCCCATTGTGATATTTTCCGGTCCCCTGTGTGGGGAGTTACCCCATTGCGAAGGGGGGTGTTACTCTGTTTTGATGTCCACGGGGAGGACTGTAAGGGAGTAGTGAAGAGAGGGAGTTTGCTCCATTTAGATGTGTGTAGAGGAGGCTTTTATGGGTACGAGAGGGCTGCCGGATTTTGTTCACAAGGAGCCCTTCCTCAGAGTAGTATGGGCAAGGAGGAGGTGCTTGTTTCAATGACTGGATGGGCCCCTTGTGGTACAGAGCAGCCCATACAGGTGTACGGTGCATTGCCCCCTCATTTCAGTATCTGCAGTGGCGCCTTTAGGACCATCATGTCCAGGCCTGGGAGCAATGGAATCTCTGCTGATGATCATGAAGGCAAGCACCTAAGATTCTCAGGCCAGTCCCGCTTCTGTGAAGGAGCAGACTTGCCTCCCAAAATAGTGTTTGCTCTCTTATCCTGTTCAAAATGGTAGTAGGAGAAGATAGTGAATAGGAAGTGTGTGTGTTTATGGTGTCTAATAATGTTTGCAAAAAGAAAAGGAGTACTTGTGGCACCTTAGAGACTAACTAATTTATTTGAGCATAAGCTTTCGTGAGCTACAGCTCCGCTCACAAAAGCTCATGCTCAAATAAATTTGTTAGTCTCTAAGGTGCCACAATTACAGGTTTCAGAGTAGCAGCCGTGTTAGTCAGTATCCGCAAAAAGAACAGGAGTACTTGTGGGAGGCTGGGGCAGGAGCTGGGTCAAGCAAGCCAGCCTGCCTCCTCCTTGCCCATACTACTCTGAGGAAGGGCTCCTTGTGAACAAAATCCGGCAGCCCTCTCGTACCCACTCCTTTTCTTTTTGTGGATACAGACTAACACGGCTGCTACTCTGAAACCTGTAATAATGTTCGGCAAGAGAATTTTTATTATTTTCCAGTACCCCTGATTTACATACCCTTCTGTTTAAATCGAAACAGCAAAGGCCTCAATCCCTTTTAACACTTCATTTGTGTTTCCTATTGCCTTTTTATGGTGCTCTGATCCTTGTTGTTTGTTGCTTCTAAAGGGCCTGTTCGTGTACATTTGGCTTCAATGGAAGATGAGGGAATTCACAGCATTTTTGAGGAGGGCCTCATGACTTTGCAGGATTGAGTCCTAACAGTGCACTATTCCCAGGCCCCAGGGCAGAAATTAGTGAGCAGGGCTGTCATTTTGGAACAGCTTCATTGAGGGTGACTTTGAAAATGACCAATATAGTTTTCAGTATTTCACTGAAACCTATAGAGCAACTCTCCTTCGTGAGAGGTATTAAAATGTCTTAAAATTCATCTAGATGAGGTAGTCTGTCTCCGCATAAGCAAGACTTCTCTGCTGTGGGAGGAGGCTACTCTGCAGATCGAATCGTTATTCGTTATGACTGATTTGTTGTCTGAATCAAGCTCTCAGTCTTACAGGATGTGAAAACTGTATTGCTGTTGTGCTTGCAAAAATATATTACGTTTGTTTTTCAGTTAAGTTTTTGTGTAGCTATTATTTTGAGACCACAGAGGTTTTCCTCTTCCACTAACAGCAGCATTTCTCCTGTCAGCCTCAATGATGAAAATGCTTTGGGGCTTTGTAATTGAACACCACACTGCCATAAGGCATTATATTGAAGAGAATCAGTTTGCAGGCTGAGCATGCATATCAAATCAGAGGGCCTCCTGGCCTCTTTTTTCTCCTTGAAGAATCTGTATGATTAGATTTCAGAGTAACAGCCGTGTTAGTCTGTATTCGCAAAAAGAAAAGGAGTACTTGTGGCACCTTAGAGACTAACCAATTTATTTGAGCATAAGCTTTCGTGAGCTACAGCTCACTTCATCGGATGCATACTGTGGAAACTGCAGAAGACATTATATACACAGAGACCATGAAACAATACCTCCTCTCACCCCACTCTCCTGCTGGTAATAGCTTATCTAAAGTGATCACTCTCCTTACAATGTGTATGATAATCAAGGTGGGCCATTTCCAGCACAAATCCAGGTTTTCTCACACACACCCCCCCCACACACAAACTCACTCTCCTGCTGGCAATAGCTCATCCAAACTGACCACTCTCTGCAAATGAATTCCAATTCAGCAGTTTCTTGCTTGAGTCTGGATTTGAAGTTTTTTTGTTTTAAGGCTTGTCCTGTAGTAGGTGACTTCTGGGATTTCCATTTACAGCGCACACTTTGCTTCTCTACAAAAGAAAAAGGACACTAAACTTTCTAAACTACTACATGCTACAAGGGGCCACAGCAATGGTTCCCTCAACCCACCCAGCAATATTGTTAACCTATCCAACTATACTCTCAGCCCAGCAGAAGCAGCTGTCCTATCTCGGGGCCTCTCCTTCTGCCCCTCCACCCCCATGAACATGATACAGTTCTGTGGTGACCTAGAATCCTATTTTTGATGTCTCCGACTCAAGGAATATTTCCAAAATACCTCTGAACAACATACTAATCCACAGAGGCCTCCCTACCAACATTACAAAAAGAAGGATTCTAGGTGGACTCCTCCTGAAGGTCGAAACAGCAGACTGAACTTCTACATAGAATGCTTCCGCCGATGTGCACGGGCTGAAATTGTGGAAAAGCAGCATCACTTGCCCCACAACCTCAGCCGTGCAGAACACAATGCCATCCACAGCCTCAGAAACAGCTCTGACATCATAATCAAAAAGGCTGACAAAAGAGTGCTGTTGTCATCATGAATAGGTCGGAATATGAACAAGAGGCTGCTCGGCAGCTCTCCAACACCACTTTCTACAAGCCATTACCCTATGATCCCACTGAGAGTTACCAAAAGCAACTACAGCATTTGCTCAAGAAACTTCCTGAAAAAGCACAAGATCAAATCCGCACAGAGACACCCCTGGAACCCCGACCTGGGATATTCTATCTACTACCTAAGATCCATAAACCTGGAAATCCTGGGCGCCCCATCATCTCAGGCATTGGCACCCTGACAGCAGGATTGTCTGGCTATGTAGACTCCCTCCTCAGGCCCTACGCTACCAGCACTCCCAGCTACCTTCGAGACACCACTGACTTCCTGAGGAAACTTCAATCTATCGGTGATCTTCCTGATAACACCATCCTGGCCACTATGGATGTAGAAGCCCTCTACACCAACATTCCACACAAAGATGGACTACAAGCCGTCAAGAACACTATTCCCGATAATGTCACAGCTAACCTGGTGGCTGAACTTTGTGACTTTGTCCTTACCCATAACTATTTCACATTTGGGGACAATGTATACCTTCAGGTCAGCGGCACTGCTATGGGTACCCGCATGGCCCCACAGTATGCCTACGTTTTTATGGCTGATTTAGAACAACGCTTCCTCAGCTCTCGTCCCCTAACGCCCCTACTCTACTTGCGCTATATTGATGACATCTTCATCATCTGGACCCATGGAAAAGAAGCCCATGAGGAATTCCACCATGATTTCAACAATTTCCATCCCACCATCAACCTCAGCCTGATCCAGTCCACACAAGAGATCCACTTCCTGGACACTACAGTGCTAATAAACAATGGTCACATAAACACCACCCTATACCGGAAACCTACTGACCGCTATTCCTACCTACAATGCCTCCAGCTTTCACTCTGACCACACCACACGGATCCATCGTCTATAGCCAAGCTCTGCGATACAACCGCATTTGCTCCAACCCCTCAGACAGAGACAAACACTTACAAGAGCTCTATCAAGCATTCTTACAACTACAATACCCATCTGTGGAAGTGAAGAAACAGATTGATAGAGCCAGAAGAGTTCCCAGAAGTCACCTACTACAGGACAGGCCTAACAAAGAAAATAACAGAACGCCCCTACCCCACCCCCTCAACCCCCAACTAAAACCCCTCCAACGCATTATTAAGGATCTACAACCTATCCTGAAGGATGACCCAACACTCTCACTAATCTTGGGAGACAGGCCAGTCCTTGCCTATAGACAGCCCCGCAACCTGAAGCAAATACTCACCAACAACCACATACCACACAACAGAACCACTAACCCAGGAACCTATCCTTGCAACAAAGCCCGTTGCCAACTGTGCCCACATATCTATTCAGGGGACACCATCACAGGGCCTAATAACATCAGCCACACTGTCAGAGGCTCATTCACCTGCACATCCACCAATGTGATATATGCCATCATGTGCCAGCAATGCCCCTCTGCCATGTACATTGGTCAAACTGGACTGTCTCTACGTAAAAGAATAAATGGACACAAATCAGATGTCAAGAATTATAACATTCATAAACCAGTCGGAGAACACTTCAATCTCTCTGGTCACGCAATTACAGACATGAAGGTCGCTATCTTAAAACAAAAAAACTTTGAAAACAGACTCCAACGAGAAACTGCTGAATTGGAATTCATTTGCAAATTGGATACTATTAATTTAGGCTTAAATAGAGACTGGGAGTGGCTAAGTCATTATGCAAGGTAGCCTATTTCCCCTTTTTTTTTCCCAACCCCCCCCCCCCCCCCCCAGACGTTCTGGTTAAACTTGGATTTATGCTGGAAATGGCCCACCTTGATTATCATGCACATTGTAGGGAGAGTGGTCACTTTGGATAAGCTATTACCAGCAGGAGAGTGAGTTTGTGTGTGTGTGTGTTTTGGGAGGGGTGAGAGAACCTGGATTTGTGCTGGTGATGGCCCACTTTGATTTTCATACACATTGTAAGGAGAGTGGTCACTTTAGATAAGCTATTACCAGCAGGAGAGTGGGGTGGGAGGAGGTATTTTTTCATGCTTTTTCATAAGATCTTCTAAACTTTCCACAGTATGCATCCGATGAAGTGAGCTGTAGCTCACGAAAGCTTATGCTCAAATAAATTGGTTAGTCTCTAAGGTGCCACAAGTACTCCTTTTCTTTTTAAATAGTTCTGGAAGTCTGTCTGTCACAGCACTGTGGTGCAACTCCTGGCTTGTCACCTACACTGGGTTCTCAGGTGTAGTATTAGACTGTGCTTGCCCTGGGGGAATTCTCCCAGTTGAATACAGGGCTTTTAGGGCCCCTTTGTGCCAGCCCTTTTATGTGATGTAAGGGGCCCCAGTATTCTATGTTGCTTTGACATCTGGGATGAACAGTCTACAGTTCTTGCATTAATATTTTGTTCCTCTACTTAAAACAGAACTGTTAAGTTTAACTAAAAAATGCTTTAATTAATATCTTTATCACTGCTGTAGAGACAAATACATCTTTTTTTTTTTTAAGCTACCAAAAAAAACCCCAACACGTCTACAGAAGGTAATGTGGAAATGTTGAGACTTTCTATGACTAAAGTTATTTAAAGTAAACAAGTGGCTCATTTTCAGTTTAGGAGCTCAATTTTAGGCACTGAAGTTTGAAAATTTTGGCCTAACATTGGCCACTCTCTTACCACTTCATAAGTTATTTTTCCTCCCTTGGTATCCTGCTGTTAATTGATTTAACTCGTTAGACTGACCTCACACTTGGTAAAGCAACCCCTCATCCTTTCATGTATTTATGCCTGCTCCTGTATTTTCACTCCATGCATCCGACGAAGTGGGTTCTAGCCCACGAAAGCTTATGCCCAGATAAATTTATTATTTGTTAGTCTCTAAGGTGCCACAAGGACTCCTCATTATTTTTGTCAATGGCTCTGAACCTGCACCTTATTGCACGCTGGAAAATCACTGTGCCCTCTCAGAATCCTATGCATATCAGTGGGGCTTTGTGTAGGCAAAGGGGTGTGTCCCAACAAATTGCAGGGTTGGGACCTAAACCTGTATACTTATATTTGCAAACGCATACTCCTACTGGAAATTAATGGGACTACTCGTGTGAGTAAAGTTAAGCACATACTGAAGTCCATTAGCAGGATTGAGGCCAAAGCGTTTGCAAAATCGGAAAGTTTACAGCTTGAATTTACAAATATGCATGTTTGTAACTTTACTCACATGAGTAAAGTGAGTGAGACAACTCATCTGAGTAAAACTATGCATGTGCATGTCTGCATGGTCAAGGCCCGAGTCCTTGCGTTCTTTAAGTCAAGGACCATCTTTTAATCTATGTTTGTATAGCACCTAGCATAGAGGAGTCTGGCTACTGATAGGAACCTCAGGGGGTGTTGTTTTTTTTTTTTAATATAATCTCTTCAGGATTAATTTGATCTGATCTAGTCGATTTCTGCTGTGATAAGTAATAACAAGTATGTGTTAGTTAAATAGGATGACCACATGATGATTACTTTTTTAGAAATTAGTCTATTTATAGTACATCAGATACAATGTATTTTTCTTTAGCAGATACAGCATATGGTCTGTTTAAAGTAAAGATGTCTTTAAATTCATCTACATGTTTGAACCAAGAAAGCCATCAGAAATTAAAAAGAAATTTTGAATGTTTGAAAAATTCACAACAACAGACTACTTCATCACTTCAAGATAATCCACTTCAAAATTTACAGTTAGCATCCTGGGAAGTGCTTGAAAAGGCCCAAAAGAGTGGGAGATCAAAGTGCCCAAGATGTGGTAGTTCAAGGATGTTTTATTGTTATTCATGTTATGTTCCAGTTGAAACTGTGCCTAGCAAAGAAATTCCAGTTGTGAAGGTTAGTGAAACATAACATATTTAATGTGCCTATTATTTGTTAGTGGGGGGGGGTGTGTGTGAATACATTGCCAGCATTCTCTTTTTCTAGGTCCTCTTTAACACAGTGGTAATGATAGATGAATAAATTCTGATAAAGTAGGGTTAGTTGTCTGGTTTAAGGAACCAGATGTAAGAAAATTGATAGTTAAGGTTTCAGTTCTGCAAATACTTATGCATATGCTCAACTTTGCATATACAAGGAGTCCCACTGAAGTCAATGGGACTCCTCATGTGTAAAGTTATGAAATTGAGGGATTAGGACTAATTCTTTAAACTCTTTCTTAAACCATTCTCACCAGAGTTCTCCAAATTGTAAGTACCAGTGGCATAGACATTTTGAAATCAAGATGAGATTGTTTGCTAAAAAGTACACTCTAGGAATTATTTTGGGGGAAGTTCTATGGCTTGTCGTATACAGGAGGTCAGACTGGACCAGGGGTGGCCAACCTCTGGCTCCGGAACCACATGCGGCTCTTCAGAAGTTAATATGTGGCTCCTTGTATAGGCACCGACTCTAGGGCTGGAGCTACACGTGCCAACTTTCCACTGTGCTGGGGGGTGTTCACTGCTCAACCCCTGACCCTGCCACCCCTTCCCACCCCCTCCCCTGAGCCTACCATGCCCTCGCTCCTCCTCCCCCTTTCCCCCCCCGAGCCTCCTGAACACCATGAAACAGCTGATCGGGAAGTGCGGGGAAGGAAAGGGAGGCGCTGATCGGCAGGGCTGCCGGTGGGTAGGAGGCTGCTGATGTATTACTGTGGCTCTTTGGCAATGTACATTGGTAAATTTTGGCTCCTTCTCAGGCTTAGGTTGGCCACTCCTGGACTAGACGATCACAATGGCCACTTCTGGCGTAGGAATCTGACTCTGTAGTGAGGGTGAGAGTTTGTATAAACAAATGCTAGGGAGCTGCACCCATTTAAACCAAAGCTGAATATGACTCAAAATGTGAACTTAAAAAAAAATAAAGAACTGCTCATAGTTGTATAACTAAGTCAGTTAACTATTTTCTTAAAATATATTGTTTTTCAGCTGAGATAGGGAATAAAGCTTTCAGAAGTGCCAAGGTCCCATTTACAAAAGTCACTTCACACTTAAATGCCACGGGCCTATTGAAAATTGGACTTTGGCTCATAAGTCAGTTAGGTGCTTTTGAAAATTTTAACCATTGTGCTTGACTCTGTTCACCTTGAAATCAAAGAGTTTTGTATTAATTTCAATGGGTTGAATACCTAATACAAATAGGTGTTCAGGATTGGGAGCATAAGGCTGCTAAATTTAAATGCATAACTTCTTTTGTCCATTATTAATAACTGAAAATTAAAATTGATAACAAAAGTATCAATAGAGCCTTCACTTTAGCGACATTAGAGTGTCAAGTGTGCACATATAATAGCTAAATTGCTTATTATTAAAAGCAGTGAGTGCTATTTCCTGTGTATTTTAATCTGACCCCCCCCCTATTTTGCATTAAACAGTATAGTTTTTAAGGAACTTCTGTTGAAATTAGGAACTTCCATATTCTTATATATCTAAATCAAAACATTTTTAGGAAACTATATGAATTTACTATATATTTTAAAAAGTTTCTGTCTGGGGATTTCCTAGGCATACATCCAGATTTGTTTATATGTCTGCCATTTTTGTTGTAGCTTCCTTTGAAGATTGACATAATTAAACACCCAAATGAAACTGATGGCAAAAGCACTGCTGTACATGCTAAACTCCTGGCACCTGAAGATGTTACCATTTATACATATCCTTGCATTCCGGAATATGAAGAAAAAAGATATGAAGTAAGAAATTCTGTAACAGGGCTGTGCGCTGGGGAAGTGTTCATGTGCCTTTCGTCTCCCAACTCCTGCTGATATTGCACCTCCCCTTTGCAGGGGGAGTGCAGATCCAACTACTCTGCCACTATTCCTCCATGAATCCATTCCACCCCAACCATAGCATGTCTCTGCAGTGCATAGGGATATGGACATCCTGCCGGGCTCATGGAAATTTGCCTCCATGTGCAGCCTAAATGCACTGATTCTGTTGTGTCCACGATCCTCTGCACCCACAGAGAAGAGAGAGGATTTGGTTCATTGCGCTTTGTAGCAAGTATTTTACTTACTGCATAGAGCAGAAGTGTCAAACACCAAGCCCACTGGCCGCATTGCCCTGCTTGATGGAGTTATGTGGCCTGCTTGGCATATTCAACTTCTGCAGAATCTAAGCTTTTATTTTGTAAAAAGTAAGTTTCTAGTATTTCCTGGTGCAGGGAAAACCTACCAAATGTAATTGATACATGTTGTCGTCTTGAGTCAGAACAGAGCCTGAAATAATGACTGTGAAGAATGAGCACCCGGTCCTCAATTTCACTGCAGTGAGAATTCTGAAACCTAACAAATATTTATCGTCAGCATTAACAAATGGGAAGGAAAGAGAGTGAATGATTCATGGATGTGGGAATTGGTATTTGCTTCAGGGATGGAAACGTCAAGCAAAGAACAGGGAAGAGGGAGAGAAACGGAGGAAGGAGGATAGGGAAGACTGGGGAAAAAAAAGAAAATACTGCTGATCCTAAAGGAGGTCATAAATTCCCATTAAGATGCTGAATGTAATAAAGAGGTTTAATTATTGCATATAGGCCATATTATACTGTTGTTTTGTGTGACATACCATTAACATCTGTGGGAGTTCTGCTGTGATTAGAGGTCAGACTAGATGATCTAATCGACACTTCTGGCCTTAAAATTTATGAATTAATTTAGGCTAACAAGTAGTCCTACATTTATACTCTGGCCCATAGACCATAATTAAAAGTGGAATCTGGCCATCTTCACAATATAAGGTTGCACCCTGGCATAGAGAAATAGATTAGTGTAAACATCTGCATAGTACCTTGCACAGAAAATATTGGCTGGTAGGATAACTTTGTTTAACATGTATGGAAGTAATACACATGTAGGCTTGGCAGATTTTGATTTTTATATATATATAATAATTTTGCTGGATATCTTTAAACATTTTATTTTTATTGATTTACGTTTTCACATTGCATGAAATTTTGGGTTTTAAGCAATTTGTCAGTTTTTATCGGGTTTTTTTGTTTGTTTTTAACATTTTCAATTGCAGGAAACTATGGGTACATCAGACAATTATTATTTAATTACAGCCTGTAGTAAGTTGTCAAGCAGTATTTTTCTATCTTTGCCTATCTGTAAATTTTCAGTTATTGGTGGTGGAAACATTTTTAGTCTGTTCGGATATGTATGGTGAAATTGATATTTACTGACATTTACTGTTAAAAGCTAATTCTGCCAAGCCTGTACATATTTAATGAAACCCTGGCAAACAATTAATTTAAACAAATCCCTTACCTTAATTTAGTTTTTCTTTTACCCTGTCTCTCTTCTTACCCTTTGGGGCATTTGAAATACATTTTCAAAGAGAAGTTCACTTTCATCTTGTATGGATTTAAATGGTTTTATTTGTGTGTGTGGATTGCTGTACAGAATAGGTATTTTCTTTTTTAATAGAAAGTTTCTGGTAAAATTTCAAGAACTTTTAACAGTTTCTATCTAAATGGCACTCGGATCTCTCTATTTGTTTTCATTTTAGATTGCACTTATCTTTCCTGGTCCTAACTCAATTTCGGTAAAAGATATTATTATCCATCTGCAAAAAAATGTTCAGAAAAATGTTAGTTGTGGCAATGATGATGATCCTTCAGCAGAGCCATTTCTCAAGAAAGCAAAAATAGAAACAAAAGAAGATGGAAACCTAAGCGAATACAAATCAAACAGCAGGAGTGAAGACACTGTACTGAAGAAAGTAATATTTATTGACAGTACTTGGAATCAAACCAACAAAATAATCACTGATGAGCGACTCCAAGGTAAATAAGTAAATAAATAAAATGGGATGTTACAGCTATAGTAAAGTGGCTAAATGAAATATACGTATTTCTTTCCTAAATGCAAAAGACCTGATTGGATACCATAGTGATGAGCAGGGTCAAAATACATACATGAAAGTGGATCTGAACATACTTCACATCAGGGGTTCAATTATATGACTTAAAATGGAGAAATCTAAAGGTGTGGCCGTTTTCTTGTTTGGTGTCATTCCCCCGCCCACCCCGGCTTTTGTCAAATATCTGAACATGTTGTGTTACACAGAACCTAGTTCTTCCTGACAGTATCAATAATGCCATCAGTGGAAAACATAATACGAGTATTGTTGCTTTTATTATGAATTAGCACAATGTACTTGTAGTTCTGCACAGCCTTCATTGTGTTATATTGATTAGAAGGACATATTTAAGCATTCCACAGAGAATTAAAATGCGTAACAACAATTTGGCAGTTTTATACTTGTGCTATGTAGGGCTCAATCCTGCTCCCATTGAAATCAATGGCAGTTTGAAAACTGACTTCACGAGAGCAAGAGCAAGCCCTTAGGTTGGAAGGCACATTTCCTTCATTTCTACTCTGTGTATTAGCAAGTATGTATTTCTCAACTTAATTTCTACCAGCGTATGGAGTGGGCATCACAGGTTTCCTGCATGGAAGATGAATGCTGCTTTGCTGCCCAGTTAGCTCATTAAAAATACTACATATGAGCATAATTTATTATCCAATAAAAATCCTATTACTAAATATATTTAACATAAAAATTCTGTTATCAAATAAATTGATATACACTACAGTGACGTATTGCTTTATCGCATGGTGTAAATGTGAACTGATTTAAGGCACTTAATAATCCTGTTCACAAAGGATGAAATTCAGGAAACCAACATGCAGCTAAGAAACTTGGGATTTATATGGGTGTCTTGTTTGTATCTAAGGAGAGAAAATCCTCCCCCCCTTTCAGGGCCAAGTCATCGGACTGCACCATAGCCCATCCCTGTACCTATTTCAGCCTAGGGGACAGAATGGTAGCTTCCGCCTTCTAATCTTCTAATCATTGTGGTCATCATCAGTCCATCTGTTGCTCGTGCCTATAATCTGCATGCACATCTTTTGACTTACACCTTTTTCTAGGTCCTCAAATCCAGGCTAAACTTAAATCTTGCAGAATCTTTTGGCATAACATCTCTAGGATATGACTATTCTTATCCATCCACACAGCTGAAATTCTCCTCCAAGCTCTCGTCATCTTGATTATTGTAACATTCTTTTCTCTGGCCTAGACAAATGCAATCTTACCACACTTACATCCATTCGGAATGCTGCTGCAATGATCACTTTCCTAGCCCATCACTTTGACCACGTCACCCCTCTCTTTGAATCCTTCCACTGACTCCCCATTCTCTATTGCATCAAACATAAGATGCTTGTATTTAGCTTCCAGGCACTTCACAGTAAATGCCACCTACCTATCACCTCTCATTTGCCAGTGAGCTGTCGATGCGTGCCTCCAGTCAGCCCATGATGCCAGCCTCCATCACCCAATTGTTACATTTTCAAATAAACGCTTTTATACTTTCTCCCATGCTGCCCTACATGCTTGGGAGAAGCTCCTTGTAAATGTCCACACACTTACCTCGTTTCCATCTTCAAAACTCCTTTTCTGTGATGCCGACAAACAGCTCAAAAACTGTTAGGCTGCTGGTGGGCAGAGATCACTGCCTAGCTTGCTGACCAATACTCTCGTTGTTTACTTGAACTCCCCCATCTGTCTGTGTCCGTTGTCTTGTGTTATACTTACACTGTAAGCCCCTTAGGGCAGAGACAATCTTGTTCTGTTTGTACAGTGACCACCATAATGGGCTCCTGGCCCATGACTAGAGCTCCTAGGTGCTATAGTAATACAAATAATAATAAGGTAGGGATTTTGTCTACTTAAGAGTTGACCCAGTGGACCCTTCCCCAGGTTATATAATCCCAAATTCTCTACTCCACACCACTCTTCTAATTCTAGTCTAGTCAGAATCTTATGCAGTCCTTGTCACCAACCTACCTGAGTGCCTTCCAGTAGTCCATTAAGTGATGTGACTAATATGTGTTACGTGTGGTTCATTCTCTCTTCTCCTCTCCCTATGAGTAGGTTAGTGTTTTGTTTTTTTAATATGTACACACTATGTGTTTATATTAGAGAAAGTAAGTCAAAAAAGTACACCTTGCACTTGAAGCAGAAGGTGGTGAGATTTGTTCTGGTCCTTAGTTCCCGTGGAAGTTCCTTCCATAGTCTGGGGTGGTTCTTGACAAAGCTTTGTCTCCTACACAGATGAGCTTTGCTGTTGTGATAGAAAATTCCATGGTGTCTAATGAGTGTTTGACTGCAGTTTTCATTCTGGAAAGCACCTTGAAATTAAGGGCGGAGACCATGAATTTGAATTGACATTCTGTGGCAAGCCAATGTAGAGAATGGCAGACAGATTTGATAACCTCCATTTTGTTCAGGTTCAGTTTCAGCTAACTCTTCTTCCATCTTGGTTGTGGTGGTGGTACAGTTGTACATGGTGAGGGATAAGTAGAGCTGTGTATCATCCCCATATTGTTGGCATGTGAGTCCATGTCATCTTACCAGTTCATCTAGTAGCTACATAGAGATGACTAAAAGGACCAAAACCTGAATTGTACTTTATGCAGAGCTAGCATGGAACCAAATGCCTTTATTAGCAGAGGGTGCAGAGACTCCTTTTCTGTCCATGCCACTCATGTCTCCTTCAATTCCCCCTATTATACCTCAAATAGGACTAGCTGAGCTTGTGTACTGCCTTAAAGGCATGAATTTCACCCCTACCTCCTACACTATAGACTTGTTAGAAATTCTTTTGTGGGTTGGTTGTATTATTTTTCTCACAGGAAAATTGATGGCATTCACATCGGTCTGTATGCACCTCAACTGCACCCATCAGAGTTACACAATCACTATCATTCTTCTGTTGCCAAAAAATAAGTTACTACAGTATTTGTTCAATAGATAAACTTAAAAGAAATACTGGAGAGAACCATTAACGAAGTGTGCCAAGAAAATGTAAAATAAAGTCTGTTTTGTAAGCCTGCATTTATATATTTCAGTAAATCTAGCTAATTGCACTTACAAGTGAAAGCAATACGGGACATCAATTAGCCTTGGAAATAGACAACCTAGGAGACTTGCACATAATTAAGTATTTTTAAATCTTATTAGGAAAGTGGTGTAATATATCTTTAGAAAACCAAACCAAACCCACTTGCATTACAGACAGGAAATATTTGAAAGTTGCTAATGCTTTGTTAGGATTGATAGATTACTTCATTAGAAATCAATGATCACTGGATCTAAAAAGTAAACTGTTACATTCAGTATTAATGATTACTTTCCCAGAGGTAATGCAGCATAAGTATGGCTGTTAAAGTAGAAGATTGGTTAGGTAATTTTTCTGTAGGCTTAGTCAAATCTTTTATTAGTTTACATATTCTCTTTTGCAAATATATGCCATGCATCTGCTTCAGTTTTTAAAGCATCTATGCTCCCTTCTACTTCTGCAAGTAAATGATAGCCTGTAACTGTACATGGAGGCTACTGGAATGTGGCAGGAACTATCGCTGTGGCATGTTGCCCCTTTATCCCGTCCTCTGGAGCAGCGGTGGGCAACCTGCAGGCCACACGCGGCCCATCAGGGTAATCCACTGGCGGGCTGTGAGACTGTGTTTACAGTTTTTGTCCACAGGCACAGCCACCTGCAGCTCCCAGTGGTCACAGTTTGCCGTTCCTGGCCAATGGGAGCTGCGGGAAGCCGCGCATGCTGAGGGACGTGCTGGCCGCCACTTCCCACAGCTTCCATTGGCCGGGAATGGCAAACTGTGGCCACTGGGAGCTGCAGGTGGCCATGCCCGGACAGTCAATGTAAACACTGTCCCGTGGCCTGCTAGCAGATTACCCTGATGGGCTGCAGGTCTCCGCTGCTCTGGAGGCATTTTGTGAGGAAGGTGCAGGTCTGCAAAGATTTCCTGCCCCTGTTTCCCCACCCAGAAAAAACCGGGAGATGGAGGAACAACTTCATCAACTCCTGTAGGCTCCACCTATAAATAATGTACAAATCCTTGTTCTTTATGATTTGGACACCAAGGGTGATTCAAGGGACAACAGTTGGTAGGAGAGCCCTAGCAACACAGAGGCAAGGGACCAATATGTGGCTTCCCTTTTCTTGGGCTAAATTCCCCAAGATCCACAGAGATGTTGAGAATCTGCAGATTTAGAGAAGGGGGCTGAACCCCTTTCCACTTCCACATAAGGGACAAACATAGCAACCAATTCAAGAACTGTAAGGAAATTCCAGTGAGCTGAAACTAGTGGAGCTCTGAATCCCCTGCACAATAATATCCAACAGGGGGATTCAGCAGAACCCTTCAGCATCTGCTTACAGTCGAGCATGTTCAAGTGCTTCGCAGAATCAGGGAGTAAAGCTTTAGTTGTTGAATAAAACTACAGTGTGTTGGATTAAGATTCACATACTCAGCAGTCTCACAAGTCTTTATCAAGACACAACACTCAGCAGGTGGTGATCAGTTACTTGTAACTGAGAAGCTCATCAGCATGATTTCATCACAGTCCTCTCCAGCACCTCCCTTTGTTGCACAAACTTATTTATAATTTATCTTTTCTTATACATTATATATTAGTCTCTCATTTTCATGTTAACTCTCCTCCCCAACACTACAACTTGTGTTACTTTAAAACTGTATTTTCTAGTTTTTTAGCGGGGGTTTTTTTTTGGTCAAAAACATAATTACTTTGCCATTTCTTACACATGCGCAGTTCTACTTTTGCTTATTCTGTTAAATGTGGTTAGGACAGACCGGGGTCAGCAACCTTCGGCACGCGCCCATCAGGGTAATCCATTGGTGGGTCACGAGACATTTTGTTTACATTGACCGACTGCAGGCACGTCACTCCCCTACAGCTCCCATTGGCCGGGAATGGCAAACCAAAGGTTGCCGACCCCTGGAACAGACTCTTAAAATTCACAGCAGGCCTCTTTCAAGCCTAAATGTGCCTTCATTCCCAATACAGTCATTAAAGTAGATTAGAATGGGAGCTTGCAGGTTTTCGTATCTATCATCACAGGTCTGGATGTAATTGTGAAGAAGTATGGTTGCTTGTGGTGATGATAAAAGCACATAGAAAAAGAGTGGGAGCATAAGAACTAAACTCTGAAAGGTGACCGTCGGCCAAATGAAGTGCATGTGAGAGAAAATAGCTTCTGTATGGACAAAATTTGTTTGTTCTCCATATGTGTGTGTTCTAAATGTCTATACTTCCATCCTGCCTAAATCCCAGATTGGCACAAACATTTATTTTATTATTTGAGCTCAAAATATGTGGATACTAAACATGAAAACAAGTCAAAATGTTGACTTCCTGGATAGTCTGAGTTACTCTCATAAGAACAACTAGTGTTTGTAACAAAATATTGCCTTTGGCTATATAGATACAGTACAGAGATGATGGAAATATGCTCAGTAAACAGTAACACTTAACCTCTTCTAAATTTTTTGTTCTGAAACTCTTAAATACTCTGTGCTGAAATTTAATTGATCCTGTGCCTGTATTCTCATTGGAGTCCGTGATCTGACTGTTTTTTAACATCTTACTTCCCTTTCCCTGCCCCCAAATGTTAAGCAATGGGAACTTTGTATTGGAGGAATCTTCCCTAAATTTTACTTCACCACTTGTAAGGTTTCAGAGTAACAGCCGTGTTAGTCTGTATTCGCAAAAAGAAAAGGAGTACTTGTGGCACCTTAGAGACTAACCAATTTATTTGAGCATGAGCTTTCGTGAGCTACAGCTCACTTCATCGGATGCATATCGTGGAAACTGCAGCAGACTTTATATATACACCGAGAATATGAAACAATACCTCCTCCCACCCCACTGTCCTGCTGGTAATAGCTCATGCTCAAATAAATTGGTTAGTCTCTAAGGTGCCACAAGTACTCCTTTTCTTTTCACTTGTAAGGTGAAACCCTGATTCTACTGAAGTCAGTGGGAGTTTTGCTATTGACTTCAGTTGAGCCAGAATTTCACCCTTATTCTTTTGGTTTATTGGGTACTCCTCTGTTAAAAGAGGTCACTGAAACTTTATATAGGAGATAAACTAGTGTCATGAAAACTGCCTTTAGTGTAAAAATTAAAGGAAATGATTAGCCTGTATCATTTTTATTATCCTCAGTTTAGACACATTTTTCATTACCAGTTTACATACTGTTTAATGCCTGTTATAACATAGTGTACTTTGAAAAGAAAATTCTATTAATATTCATGTTGTTAGCTGTGAAATAAATAGCTAGACTCACCTTGTGATTGCACCAGAAACAGTTAAATGTAGTTTGAAGCTATATAAAAAGTACAAAATTGTAAGTGCTGGGCTACAGGCCAGCTTGGGCTCCTGAAATAGGGCCATTTGGAGATGGACCAAACTTCTCTGTCTGTAATTTCCAAGCAATTCTCAGACCATGTTGTAATTACTGATGTTAAATTATCTCAAGATACAGATTTTGCATCTTAATGTTAACATTTAAGAAGATAGTTCAGAGCCTGATTTTGCGAACATTTATTACACACTGTAGTGCTTGCTAACCTAATTGATCCCATTGACTTATTATGCATTTTTAAAGAATTTTCAGAATAGCTGACGTGACTTCAATGGGGTTTTTTTAGGGTAATATGGGATTGCACTTCAATAAGATTATTTAGGGATCAGTAGTGAGGAGGTTGCAGTGTCAGGGCCTTCTGTGGCTTTTGAATCATTGCATGATTGAAATCAGCATAATTTATTTACTTTTATTCAGTTTTGTAAATATAACGAACATTGTAAGATATTCATGTAAAATGGGCCATATCAGATCATTAGGTTTTAAGCAAAACTCCACTGATTTCAGTTCCACTGAATGAGTTCTGCTTAGAAATAGATGATGCATTGAATATATATTAAGCACTACTCCGCCTTCTCTAGACACATTAATTTCAATAAAATAAAAAAAAGTAAAGGAAAAAAGCAAGATAGTAAACTTACATTTGTCACCAAGCCCTTGCATGCCCTGCCTTCATCAATTTTCTCTCATAAGTGACCTGTTATAGCCATTCCAGACATCTCAAAATCAAATCCCTGCAGAACTATACCTTCCACTCTGAGGCCCTTAGCCCCATCATACAGTTATGCCTGGTCTTGAGTCTTTGCAGGATTGGGGCTTAAGGTCGTGTTGCTGCAACTTGATCTATGTGGGCAGGCCTTAAGCCTAGATAGAGACTCATGGAGTCAATGGTATTGTGATCTATCATGAAGATCAAATTGTAGGATCTGGGCCTCAAGTAGAAATATTTATAAAACTTACCTTTTTTGACCCCAGTGAGGATGGGGGAATTATTGCCAACATTAAAAAGCAAAAACAACAACAAAACCCCTCCATAGCTGACAATTGTGTGTATCTTTGTGATGTTACATATAAGATTGGCGGGATTCGATTTTTATTGGTAAATGTTGATTTCACAGTACCCATGCAAACCTAGGGAAAAATGTCCATCAATGATGATGATGAAGGTTAAGAGTCTGTCATAGATATTTTCAGTAAAAGTCAGGGACAGGTCCTGGGCAATAAACAAAAATTCACCTGTCCCTGACTTTTACTAAAAATACCCTAGGACACGGGGACAAACAGAGCACTGCTGGGGCTTGCAACTGCCCCGGTCCTGCTGCTGGTCCTGTGGCCTGGGCTGATCACTGCTGCTTCAGGCCCGGGGGGCTGACCCAACCCCTGCTATTGCGCCAGCGGGCTCAGGTTTGGCCGCCGGTCAGCTGTTCCAGCGGCCACTGCTCCAGCCCTGCTCCAGAAGAAGTCATGGAGGTTCCAGAAAGTCACGGAATCCAGGACCTCCATGACTGAATCATATCCTTAAAAATAATTGAAACTTCCAAATAAGCGGAGTAAGAAAAAAGGTGCTTGAGAACCTAGAGTTTGATTTAAGGCTATTTGCTCTGTATTTTTTCATGTGTGAGTTTGATGATTTGTGTTTAACTGTTAAAGTTTTAACTTTTTGAATCTTAATGTCTGCTTGTGAGTAAATAATTGTTAGACTCCACACATGATTTCCTGTAATTGTGAAAATTTAAATCAATAAAAATGTAAAAAAAAATATTTAAAACCCAGAATTTTATGCAACTGTAAAAATTAATTGATAAAAATGGAAAGAATGCTTAAAAACAAACCAATATCATCCATCAAAATTATAAAAAAATTGAATTCTGCCAAGCCTAAATATATAATAAATACCTAGCTTTTATCTAGCACTTTTCACCATTACCCTCATTGTAGAAATGGAGAAACTGAGGCACAGAGAGGCAAAGTGACTTACCCAATGTCACCCAGCAGGCCAATGGCCAAGCCGTTAACAGAACCCAAGTCTCTCAATTCCCAGTCTGGAGCTCTGTTTGTTAAGCCAGCCTGCCTAACATTTGTCCCCTTTTTCTTGGCAGGGTTACTACAAATTGAGTTGAAAACAAGGAAAACTTGCTTTTGGCGTCACCAGAAAGGAAAGCCAGATACATATCTTTCTACAATTGAAGCCATTTATTATTTTCTCGTGGATTATCATCAGGAGGTTTTAAAAGAGAGCTCCAAAGGACAATATGACAACCTGCTTTTTTTCTTTTCATTTATGTACACGTTGATAAAAAACGCCAAGAATTCTGCAGGAAAAGAATAAGCCAAGCTATCCATTTGTCTGTGAATAGCACCATGTTTGTCTGTCTTTAATTATGATAAAGTGTAGTAACACAATTTTTTGTCTGAATGACATTTGAGTTCAATAATAAAACACAGCATATTACAGTCTGGAGTTGTCTGTAATGCTGCTCCAAATGCAAGAGCAGGATCTGGCTGTGCACACACTTGATGCTTAATTTTAATCACTACTTATTTCAATGACATTATGCATGTCCCTAAGGGTTGGCCAGTTAGGGCCTACTTTGTGAGTCTGACCCTGCAGTACACACCTTGGGTAAAACACAATGTGTCGGAGGCAAGGAATGGAGGATTAAGACCTCAGACTGGAAATAGTAAGATCTCAGGATTTTAAAGAGGAGTTAATATGTCAACATGGAATCTCTTTTCTAAAACGTACAATGTAATTCAGGTGATTATACTGTGTAGGAATGTGCTCTAACCAATCAGGTTGACTTCATGCTGTTGATATTACGATTGCTTACTGAAATGATTAGGACAGTATTTCCTCAGGGGAAAAAAATTAAAAGACCCAAGTTAGTTGACTGAATGGAAAAACAAATGATAAACTTTGTTAGTTTTAAAGCTGGAAAAATGATTTAGTTATACAGATAAAAATATAGGCCTAGATTCATAAAGGTACTTAGGTGGGGTGACGCTGAGCAGATCCTGGTAAAATTTTTAAGTGTAGACCAGACCTAAGCTGGCTAGATATTTCTGTCTTTTTCCTATGTTGGTGAGGGAGTCACAAGTCTTGCAAAAGAGACAAGAGAAATCATAATAATTAACCTTTTTCAGAAATCTGTGAGTTTATTTTAGCTGTATCTTTTTTCTCCTCAGTAAACTTGGCCAATTTTCCATCTGCACTGATCCTTCTCTCCCCTCCCAAAGGGGAGCCTCAGTATCCGAGGGCAAGTAAACAGCACTGTGAAAAAGGCATTAAGAATTTCTGTTTTTAAACTTGTATAGAATTTTGTTTGGGGCCATCAGATTAATTAATTGTTGTTTTACTTTTGTCTGAAGTGTACCAAGGTATTAAATTAATCACAATAAACAGAGCATTGAAATACAAACTAAAGAGCCACTTTTTCAGACCGCTTCTACCTAGTCTCCAGTTTTACATGTCCACCCAATTTCACTTCTTCAGGTAGGCATGAAACAGGTATTTATTTTTTTTTTTTGCACATGGAAATCACTCTGTGTACATACACAAAAGTGAAGGTCAGGACTGACCATTTGGCCCTAGGAATAGAAAGATTTAGTTAGTATGCATGAATTAAAATAACACTGTTCATAAAAGGCACAGATTCAGGGTCAGAATGATAAACAGCATTTCAAATGTGATGGTGCAGCTACTAAAGTGAAAAGCAAGTTTGTGTGTATTTCTCTTACAGAAAGAAAAATCTCCAGCAGCCATCTCTGTCGGCTATTAGAACAACAGATTTCTTAGTCATTTGTTTTTATTGTTATTGAGAGAGGTTATTTGGCTTTTCACAATGATTAATGCTATTTCCCCGGTATGAATTTTGATGGTCTTTTTGACATTTTCATCCGTACTTGTGTTTCTAAAACAAAGATTACTTTAAGAAAGTCAAAGAAACACTTTAACAGTGTATAATAGTTTGAGAAGAAAAAACTTTCACCCATTTAAAAAGTGAACTCAGTGACCTAATGTTTTACAAGAATCAATCAGAGGAGAAATTTTTTTTTTTTTCTTCCAAGACATTTCCCTGAAAACATGTTTTTTTTATTTAAATGGTAGAGGTCAGATAAAAGCTTATATAAGCTGGTCTTCGTTACTTTTGGAAAAGTACTTTCATAAAGTTAAAAACATTTTCCAAATGTAAATTTGGGTACCTCACTTTATTTTAACAATGGGAGTTAAGAAGCTATTCCAAAAGTAAATTAATTTTAGTTCTCAGATGAAATCAATGTACAGGCAATATTTAAAATCTGGAACATTGACTCCAGAAAGTTGGGTTCAGATTTTTTTTTTTTCAAAATTAACTTTGCTAGAGGGGTACACTAATTATTAAACCAAAAGAATCACTCTTACAAATATGGGACACATCTAGGGTCCACATTATTTAGGGTCTATTGGCATTCCTCTGATAACCTTGTGGGGGGGGGGGGGCAGGCAGAAGGTTAGTGTAACCACTGTTTCAGACCTGTTCTGGCTGAAACTTGGCTTCCTCCAAAAAAGATTTAAATCCATTATTTAAGTTGGAGACTGGCAAAAAAAGAGGTTCCTCAACCCACTGAAAAAGTATCATGGTCTCCAATAGATTTTCCAGCTTCTAGCCAAAAGAATAGCTTTGCATTGCGAAATGAAAGATAGCAAGTATTTAATCCTTTCAAGTAGAGTTAGCAGCACTAACCTCCCTCTTAACTAAAATAAGGGTCAGGGGCTAAGGGATAATTAGTTAAGGGCTAATTCCGGACCTATTTCTTAAAACTGGAATGGCCCCTATCTCATCTGACTGAACCCAAAGAGAACCTCCCATCCACCTAAGACATCAGGTCAGGGAGGTACTAGGAGACAGCATGTGGAGTGAGGGGAAAAGACCAGTTTAAACTTGGTCTAGCTAGCAGCAAGCTAGAAGGTTTCAAGATACAGGAGAAAAAGGACGAGCAACCCTGTTTTCTGAACACAAGGATATCTGACTGCCTTTGGAAAAGTTAAGTTGAAGCACCTCTAGTACCTGAAGGGAATAGAGAGCCTGTCTCGAGTAGCAAGTACAACTGTGGTGATAAAAGTGCAAAGAGCCATCTTACCTGCAGTCTGGTCCATTCATCTCCTGCAGTGCTGGCATCCTGCTTTTGCCTGTGTCCTTAAAAGGTGTTTTGTTTTGTTTGCCAGAAGTGGAGAGGAAAGTGGTTTCTTTTCCGTGTTTGGTTAATGGGGGCACTAGATCCACTCCTGAGTGTGGCTGCAGAAAGTTGTGAAAGGCTATTCCTTTTCCTGAAGAGAAGTACAGGAGTCACCAGTCTCAGGTTGAAGATGTGCATTCATCATTTTATTCTTAGATTTGAATGCTAGAAGGGACCATTTGATCATCTAGTATGACATCCTGGGTAACACAGTTCATAGAATTTCACCCAATTACCCCTCTGCTAAAGTATCTCTTCCAGAAAGCGGCAAAGAGTCCTGTGGCACCTTATAGCTTTTTTTTTTTGTTAGTTTTTTTTGCCGCTTTTACTGATCCAGACTAACACGGCTACCCCTCTGATACTCTTCCAGAAAGGTGTCCAGTCTTGATATCAAGGCATCAAGAGGTGGAGATTCCACCACTTCCCTTGGCAGTTTGTTCCAATAGCTAATCACACACTGTTAAAAATGTGTGCTTATTTCTAATTTGAATTTGTCTGGCTTAAATATTTAAAATGTCACCAAAGCTATACCTGTAGTCATCTTTTTTTCATTCATTCATTTTATAGTTCTGTGTCTGTTCCTAAAAAATTAGGAATAGATTAGTAAGAAAGTCAATAGAAAGACTTTTCTGATCCTCAACACCATAAATTATTTCTTGGAGGATGAGCAAAGTAACTATCAGTCTTATGACTGACAGCAGAGCAGTCCCTTCTCATGGTTGGCATAGCTATTTTTAATTTACAGAATCATTACCTCTCTCCACTCTTGCCTGGCTTTTTCTGGAATTGTGTGCATTGTGCCCCATAAACCTTCTGTAATGGAGCCTTCAGCTTTTCCTTGTATTGGGAGTTCAATTGAATGCACTACTCAACCATTTGTACTGCCAAGTGTGCTTGTTATTTGTGCTCTTGACTAATTCGTCATGGATTTCTTCTCAAGTTCAATCAGAATCTCTTCCTCGGATTGGTGAATTTCCTCTTAGAGTCTCTTAGTTTCCTGAGCAGCCAATTCTCATTTAGTTGTGCCTCTTTCTGAATCAGCAATTTATTTTTCTGATTCACAAGATCTTCCTTGGCTGTTGCAAGCACCTCCATTTTATTTCTGTAATCATCTAAGAATGCACGGTAGTCTCACTCATTTTGTTCTTGTAGTCGGAGGATTTCTTCTTGCTTTTTTGTGTGTTCCACTGAGCACAGGCCTTTGCCATCTGTACTTTAACAGTTCCAAGGACGACTCCTTTCTTTATCTCCAGTTCCCTTCTAAGGGAAAGTATATTCTCTTCAAGCTCTTTGGTTCTTGCTCCAGATTTCTGTTTTCTCACGTTTTTTCTTTCATTTCTCTTCAGCTGCTGAAAGAACTAGTGATAGCTAAAGATCACAAAATATATATACATTTAAAAAAGATATGGTTAGCAGATAGGAGATGACCTATGGGGTTGAAAAGAGAGGGATGAAGGCAAACTCTTGCCCCCTCCCCCAAACATTTGTATACTTATCTGATCCAAACCTTTTGTCTACCACCTGTTTCAGATCCTATTTAGCATTTTGAGTCCTTATTATAAACTCTTATTAGTACTCTGTTTCACATGCCCCTACAATATCAAGTGCAATGTAGTGTGTTGCTCTAATCAAACTGTCTTCCCAAAATACACCTTATTCTGTGGTTGTTGTTTGAACACATTAAAAGCATAATTAAGGCTACGATTTTGTTATGGATATTTTTAGTAAAAGTAAGGGACAGGTCACGGGCAATGAATAAAAATTCACGGAAGCCGTGACCTGTCCCTGACTTTTACAAAAAACAGCCCTGAAAAAATTGGGGAAGGGAGAGGGAGGAGGGTCCAGCACCCTGCCCCCCTGCATGCAGCAGCAGGGACCTGTGGCCCCATCCCTGCCCAGTGGCTGGGAGGGACCCCAACCTGGGCTGGGATCTGTGAGGTCCTCCACCGCTGGCAGGGGCTGGGGCACTCCGGGGGATTTCCCAGCAGGTGGGGAGCTCTGGGGCATCACCTGCCGCCTGTGGGAGATCGGGTTCTCTGGGGGATCGCCCACCGGCAGCGACTGGGGTGTTCCAGGGGATTCCCCCGTGGGAGCTGGGGAGCTGCCAGGGATCCCTTGACACCCTGCAGGGCTGGGGGAGGTCCCGCGCTGCCACCGGTGGCTGGGCTGCTGTGGGGCCCCAAGGTAACTGAGGTCCCTGGAAATCATGGATTCTAGGACATCTGTGACATACTCAT